GCCGCCGCCAGTGCGAAGGCTACCGCGGCGTGGAGATCCGTGACCTGAGCAGCTCCTTCCGGGACGGCCTGGCCTTCTGCGCCATCCTGCACCGACACCGGCCCGACCTGTTGTGAGTGCCCGAGGGCGGGCGGGTCGGGCGGGAGCGCAGGCGGCGCGGGCCAGTGCTGGGACCCCCGCCCCCCTCAGTGACGCGGCGCCCGGGCGGTGACAGGCACCACCCCCCCGGAGACAGAGATGCCGACCCTGCAGACGGCGCGGAACGCCGTCCACGGGTCACTGAGGCCCCCCAACCCAGGGCACCCTTGCCGCCGCCGCTAAGGCTCTGACCCTGCCCACTGGGACTCGCACCAGCTCCCATGCTGGTGCCCTCAGCCTAGAGGCACTGACCCCGCCCACAGAACACTGATTTCCACCCAAGGGACACAGCCCCCCAAGGCTTTAAGCTTCTCAGACGGGCGCTAAGACTTCCTCTCAAACAGGAACAGAAGGCTCCCCCAGGGCTGCCGGCACTGAGGCCTGTTCACTCTGTGGGAAACACCCCCTTGCTCTGTGGGTACAGCGAACCTTCAAGTCTCTGATTCCCCAGTGGGATCCTTGTCTGTGTGACCCTAGCACGGTGCCTGGTACGGAGACCCTAGTTAACAACTGTTGGATGAATTAATGTACACCCCCTCCTCTCAAATTAGGACACCAACCTGCCTTCCCAGGTGTGTGCCTCTAACCCTTCTCAGTGGGGCAGGAAGGTGGTGTGTCAAGGAAGAGGAGTGGGGCTGAGTGGCCTTGCAACCAGTTGCTTCAGGCTGTGAAATGGCTCCTTCTTGCCGGAGCTGCCCAGTGAGTTTCTCTTGATTCAGAGCCCAGAGCAGTTGACTTGGGGCTTCTATCTCAGCTCCTGTCTTGGGCCCTGGAACCTCTTCCTTTCATTCATTCATTCATTTATAAAATTGAGTGAATGTTTGTCAGGTGCCCGCCATTCCTTGGGCCTCAGGCCTCTCATCTGCAAATTGGGGCCACCCTTGCTGACAGCCCCCCTGCCTGGAATGCCCTTTGCAGGGCTCCCAGAGCCTGGCAGGGCTTGGAGTCTTTGTCTGTGCCTGCCCCAGGGCCACACAGGGGAGGGCTTTGATGAAGGAGGGACAGAAGGAAAGGATGGCCTCAGGGATTCGATGGTGCCAGTACACTTTGTTTATTCTGTCCCATGCAGTCCAAAGCTGTGGGTGGTATGGGTCGCTGTGTTGGGCCCTGAGGAGAGGGTTTTGGGGGTGTAGGTATCAGGATTGGATCCACGGATTGGATTGGAGCGGAGGGCTCAAGGGGGCTTTGGTTTGGCTGGGGGACAGGGAGTAAGGCAGGAGGCAGGGGACAGGGCCAGTGTGTGAAGGGACTTGGGTGTCAAGCTGAGCCATTTGGTGTACCTGAGCCTGTTGGCATCATAGCGCAGACTGCCTCGTTGGTGTTCATCCTCTCCATATCCCAGGTGTGTGACCTTGGTTAAATCACTGGGTCCCTTCAGGCATCGGTTTCCTCATCTGTAAACTGGGGTTGATCATAGTAAGACCTACCTCATAGAGTTGTTGTGAGAACTCAGTGAGATAAGCCTTCAGTTAGCATTAGTTATGATTAAGTAGTAGTATTAGGCAGTAGAGGGGGTGAGAAGAGTGTTTTATTTCTTCATTTATTCAACAGCTATTTATAGAGTTACTACTCTATGCTGGACACTGCCTGGTAATGGAGATACCCACCAACGTAACAAAAACCCAATACAGCCTCCCACAGTCTGTGCGAGGAAGCAGATGTATCAATAGTGATGAGAATTCCATGGAATAAGTGCTATGTCAGAGACCCAGGCTGGGAAGGCTTCCCAGGGGAGAGCAGAGTCTTCAAGGATATGGCAGTGGCCAGGTGAGGGGCTGAGGGAAGGACATTCTGGGCAGAGGGACCACCTGAGCAGAGGAGAGGAGGTGTGAGGTGTGTGGAGCCTCAGGCGGTGCTGCTGGAGTGGGTTGTGCTAGGCAGAGAGGGTCAGGAGGTGCGACTGGGCCAGATTCCTCATGACGTTTTTTGCTGGCCAATGAGGTGGATGGGCCTGCTGCAAGGGAGCCTTGTGGGTTTTAAGCAGGGAAGCGGTGTGGCCAGAGGAGGTGTGGAGGAAAGCCAGAATCATGTCCAGGCATTCATTGCAAGGCAGGGCAGTGACTGGTCTGCCAGCTCATTGCGTAGGAGGGACACTGAGGCTCAGGTGTCCCATAAGGCATAGAGAGGGCCTTACCAATGGGTAGGAGAGGATTTCCATGAGAGTAAGGTAGGTAGTAGGGGAGAGGGCAAGGATCATCTTCTGGAGTGGGCAAGCAAGATGCCTCCCTCAAGTTCCTGGAACTGTGAGCCCTGCCCAGTTGAACCCAGTGGTAGCCTAGGCCTCTGCTGGGGAGTATCCTGCTTTGGTGGGGAGGGGCCGGTCCATGTGCCCCCCTCCCCAAATCCAGGTATCTATGTGTATGATCTTTATCAGTACCAGTTACCGTGGGGTTGATTATGACTCCTGAGGACCCCATGTGTGTGTCAGAGTAGAACTGTGCTCCATAGGGTTTTCAATGGATCATTTTTTTGGAAGTAGGTTGCCAGGCCTTTCTTCTGAGGCTCCTCTGAATGGACTTGCACCTCCAACCTTTCAGTTAGCAGCCGAATGTGTTAACTATTTGCACCACCCAGGGACTCTGTTTGCTCTTTCAGCTCCCTTAAAGGGAGTTTGTTGGTTTCACTTTGTGTCCTTCATCTCCCCCAGAGCCAAACAGAACCCCTCCCTTTGAAATTTCTCAGAAAATAAAATCTCAGTTGCAAAAGCCCAAATGTTGATAAGTGTCTGAGGCAGGGGTGGGGAAGAAGTTGGAGGAAAAAGAATTATCGTTTCCTGGAGACATACATGGTTTTTACACGGATTTCAACATTTATTCATTCAACAAACATTTATGGAGTGCCTACTAAGGAGTGCAGGTGGCACAGTGGTTAAAGCGCTTGGTTGCTAACCAAAAGGTTGGCGGTTCAAACCCACCAGCTGCCCCACAGGAGAAAGATGTGGCAGTCGGCTTCTCTAAAGATTACAGCCTTGGAAACCCTATAGGGCAGTTCTACTCTGTCCTCTACGGTTGCTGTGAGTCAGAATCACCTTGACAGCAGTGAGTTTTTGGACTAAGTGCCAGGACTGTGCAGGTGCCAGGGTACAGGGCAAACAAAATATGACCCCGGCCGTCTAGGAGCACTGCTGGGGAGATGGGAGTAAAGGGACAGAGATAAGTTGGTTTTGTCTCCTTTGAGCTCAGAACCAGCCTTTGCTGGGGACTGGGCTGGCGTTTTCCCCTTCCCTTCCCAGGCAGTTTCCCTGATCAGGAACCTTAGGTTTGGAGAGGTTACATATTTTTGAAGAGGTCACACTCCCAGGCAGTGGCAAAGCAGGGCTTTTAACCTAGTCAACCTGGCCCGAGTCTGCAGTTGAGGCCTCTGAACAGCACCTCCTTGCACGACCCTTCCTTCCCCAGGACAGTTGTGTGGGACCAGAGGTGAGAGGCAGGGTTGAAGGTAAAACAAATCCAGCCAGGGTGATGGGGAATTGGGGTGGCTGGAGTCAAAGGTCCAGCTTCTCTTCGCTGCTGAGGACCAAGGCCAGCCTTGGGATAGTCCAGGCCTTGGCTGCTCAACGGGAGTTAGTGAGGCAGCTGGGGGAGAAGGAAGGGGCTTGGCCAGGTGTGGCAAAAAGGGGGATGACACTCACACAGAGTCCCCTCTCCTTCCATCTCCCCAGTCCACCCAGCCTTGGGGTGCCAGACTCCTGAGCTTCCCAGGCTACCCTTGCTGACTTTCCCCAAGGTTCGTTATAGCGGGACTCTGCCTGGGAAGATGTTAGGGGTGGAGGCCAGGAGGAGGGGGGTGGTGCTTGCCCCGCTCCCTCATGTCTGTGAGGCCTTGACTCTGTCCTCGCCACCAGTCTGGGAGGGGGTACTGGTGCCTTCCCCAGTTTGCGGGGGGCCCAAAGGACTGCTGACCTGCCCAAGGTCACACCAGCCAGGAAGAGCGGGGCCTGAGACCTGGGCCTTGGAGACTCTGGCTGCTCCTGCTCTGGGCCCACCCATCCTGGATAGTTGAGGCTGCAGTTTTAGCCGTAGAAGGCAAAGCTGCACCGTGCACCCAGGAGGCTGCTGGGAGGGAGGCTGGGCTGCCTCGGCTGGTGTCAGCCGCTCCAGCAGCCCGGTGCGGGCAGGGGAAGGAGGGGGATAAATAAAACCAGCAGGCCTGCCAGCTGTCCCATACCCAGGGGATCCCCCTTTCCAGGCCTTGCTGCCTCTCACCTGTCCCAGCTTAGAAACCCGGAACCCCTTCCTGCTCCCCCAAGGGAAGATGTCACCAGCGGGGCCGGCCGTCCAGCCGTTCAGTGCCAGCAGTCTGGAATATGTATGAGTGCCAGTCTGGTTCAGACTTGTTCTTCTGTTCCTGGCCCCATTAAAAGAAATATATTCATCTCCATTCCGGGCTCTGTTGGGAATTTGGCAAATCATTGCAGCTCCTCCAGGACTGTGACTTGCAGTGGAAGGGCCAGAAATATCAGTTCCCAACCTGGCTGGCTTCCTCTCCCTGGGCCTCAGTGTGCTCATCTCTAAAATGGGGTAAATACTTGCTGCATAGAGTTGCTGTGAAAATAAAATGAATGCAGGAGAAGAGCTCAGCAGTGCCGGACTTGAGGTCAGCAATCAGATTCCCCTTATTACAAGCACTAGTTGCAGTCTTAGTTTTGTGTTTGCCACTGACCTAGAGCGCAGGCGCTGGCTTCCCTGGAAAGGCAGCTAGAATCTTACAGAATCTCAAACTTGAAAGTTTAGGCTTGAGCTTTACCCCCTCTGCTTGAATGCCTCCAGGGGCCATGAGCTCATCTTCTGCTCCGGCTGGCCGCCCCAGCTCCCATGAGCAAGTGCTTGTTGCCTCAGTTTCCTCCTCTGCTGCCCACAGAGCCCTCCCCCTGCTGAGCCTGCCGCTGGCCTGGTTGAGACCACCTCTATCGGGCTCCTTCCTGACCCCACAGCCCTGCCTCAGCCCCTGCTCCCTGGTCGTTGTTCTGATTCATCCGCCTCTTCTTTGCCTCTTGCAGAGATTTCGATTCACTCTCCAAGGACAATGTTTTTGAGAATAACCGCTTGGTGAGTCCCCTGACAGATGGAAGCCCAAGAGGGTGTGTATGCGCGCGCGCATGCATGCACGTGTATGTGCAAGGCAGGGGTCTTGCAGGGTAGAAGTTGAGGCAGGGGCTCCTGGACCCAGCACTTCTAGGAGCTGCCCTTGCCTGCAGGCCACAGGGTCGGGAGAAGGTCTGGCTGCCCCTCTCCCCGCATCTTGAGCTCCAGGCTGCTCCTTCCCCAGCCCATCGTATAGGGTTCAGGGTGGATGAGAGCTGAGGGAGCCTATATCACCCCTGCTGCTGGTCCCCCTCATCCCTTGGTGGGGAGCCAGGCCTAGGCTATGGGGCACCCACTCACACTGCCTCCTTCTCTTCCTGCTGTGGCTGCTCCTGCTCCCATCCCCATCCTCCACCTTCCCGCACCAGGCCTTTGAGGTGGCTGAGAAGGAGCTGGGGATCCCTGCTCTGCTGGACCCCAATGACATGGTCTCCATGAGTGTCCCCGACTGCCTCAGCATCATGACCTACGTGTCACAGTATTACAACCATTTCTCCAGCCCTGGCCAAGGTGAGTGGGTGCCTAGCCCTTCAGGGAGGGTGGCCCTCGGGGTGGGGCTGGGAGGTTTGCTACTCTTTTTCTGAGCTACAAACAGGCAGCTGGGGAGGCTGCACATCAGTCATTCATTTAATCATTAATTCACTCATTCAGATATTTATTGAGTGCCTCCCTTGTGCAGGTACTGTGCTAGACCCCAGGATAGCTGTGACCACCATCTCTGCCCTTGTGGCTCTCAGAGTCTTCTGAGGGCGCAGATGATAGATAAACATGGAAGCCACACTGAGGTTATGTTAATGGTGGTGGTATGATTTGGAAAAAGGATAGTGAGAATGGTTGCCCAACTTGAATGTAATCAATGTCACTGGACTGTACGTGTAGAAGTTGTTGAGTTAGCTTATGTTTTGTTGTGTATATTTTCACACCACACACAAAAAAAACCCCACATAAAGCAATCAATGAACAAGATAAGGTCAGAGAAGATTAAACAGATTGAGTTCATCTGCTGTCTGTGAGTTCACCTCCCTGGCACCCACCCTCACTTCCTGTTTGCAGACACTTCCCTGGGTTTTTTCCTCCAGTGGGGAAGTGGCCCTGTGGGGCTGTCTTCCCCAAATGTGACCTTCAAGTCTGAGAATTGCCAAGCTGGGGGACATAGGTGGGGCTCCAAAGTCACCTGGAGCTGAAAGATGCAGGAACCTCTTCTGGGAGTGGCTGGGCCTCCCATTCTGCAGAGAGGAAAGGAGGAGAGGCCCAGAGAGGGGATGCAAGGAGCCCAAGGTCACACAGCAGAAAAGCTGAACAGCTTGGACAAGAATCCCAGTACCCTGACCCTCCTGGGTCTCTGCTGCCCACAGGTTCTGAGGGGGTGGGAGCCTTGCCCCTCTCCTGCCCCTTTTCAGCCCTACTTCCTGCCTCTGCTCTCAACCCCAACCCAGCTCTTAAAAAAAATATTTTATGAAATCAGGTTTTCTTTTTTACTAAGAGTAAAACATGCTTACTGCAGAAAATTTAGAACATAGGAAAAAGCCATTATAAATCACAATATCTGTTATACCCCCTCGAAATAACATTAGGGATTAATATTATAATTGAACAAATAAGATTATATGCATTTTAATAGAAATTAAAAAAAATGTATTTCTGGACCACAGAGTCTTGGTGAGAGAAGTCTAAGGTGGGGTTTAGGAGCACGGACTCAGTTTTGGCTCTGCTATTTGCTGTTTGGGTGATCATGGAACGGTTACTTAACCCCTCTGCCTCAGTTTCCCTATGCAGTGGGGATTAGAAAAGCGCCCATCTCACAGGATTGATGTGAGGAGTAAACGAGGAAATGTGTAAACATCTGGCCTTTATCAAGGGCCCAATGTTAGTATTATTGTTACTCCTTTGTGCCATTGGAGTTTATCTTTCTTAGAGTTACATTTCTGTCTTCCCTCCTTGAGGGTTCCTTGTGGCCAAGCCCAGATCCCTCTTTCCTAAGCTCTTCTCTGCAGGGCTACTATTTCTGGGACCTGGGTGATGCCTGAGCCCATCCCTGGCCCTCACTGGCTGCCCCTGGGTCAGGGGAGGATAACACTAGTTGGAGCACCCCTTTGCCCTACAGGGGTTCCAGCTTATAAAGGTACAGTTTGTGCTATTCATACAACTTGGCCCCTAAATGCAAACCATTTTTGTTCCATCTGCTGCTCAACCAAAGAAAACATGGCGCTGTGTTCCAACCCTGGAGGAAAAGCTGGCCCCCAGATGGCCTTGTCCTGTACTTTCTGGGTGAACGGAGGGAACTCAAAGGTGACTTTGTCCAGCCTTGATTTTCACTGGCCTGGGTACCTTTAAAGGAGCCCTAGTGGCTTAGTGCTTAAGTGCTCGACTGCTAACCAAAAGGTCGGCGGTTTGAACTCACTAGCTGCTCTGCGAGAGAAAGATGCAGCAGTCAGCTTCCATAAAGATGACAGCCTTGGAAACCCTATGGGGCAGTTCTTCTCTGTCCTACAGGGTCTCTATAAGTCAGAATCTACTTGACAGCAACGGGTTTTCTGTTTTTTTTTCGGAGGGGTACCTTTGGAACCTAACCTGGCTGAGACACCTGTGCTGAGTGTTCAGCTAGTGCCAGGCCCTGTGGGTGCCGGTGACCCCCAGCACATCAGGCTGACAGCCTGTCAGGGAATTGGGGTGTGATCGAAGGAAGCCCATTGACCCTGGGGGCTCGGAAGAGGTGCACCTGCCCCCAGAAGTGGGAGGGCAGGTGTCATCAGGATAAAGTCCATCTTCTCATTGTAGTTTCTGAGGACCTGGGTAGTCCCTGCTGGCCTCGCCATACTTAGGTTGAGCCATTTGCTGCCCCAGCTGCTGTTGTTAGCTGCTATTGAGTCGGCCCCCAACTCATGGCTGCCCCATGCACAATGGAAGGAAATGCTGCCCAGTCCTGTGCCATCCTCATCATTAGTTGTGGATTGAACCATTGTGATCCACAGGGTTCTCACTGGCTGATTTTCAGAAGTAGATCACCAGGCCTTTCTTCCTAGTCTATCTTAGTCTGGACGCTCCACTGAAACCTGCTCAGCATCATAGCAGCAGGCAAGCCTTTGCTGACAGATGGTGATCACTGCATATGAGGTGCATTGGCTGGGAATCAAACCTGGGTCTCCCCCATGGAAGGCGAGAATTCTGCCTCTGAACCACCGCTGACCCCACCCCAACTGTAGTCATACTGAATTCTTGCACTTCTTTTACTACATCACATTTCTTCACTGCTAAGCCCTTCCTCTTGCTGACCCTCCTGCCAGAACACCATTTTCTACTCCTCTCCTTACCCCCTAGCAGATTCTTCCTTTCTCATCTCTAATCTTCAGCTCATATTTTGCCTCCTCCACGCAGCCTGCCCTGATACTCCATGTGCTCTTGTAACTTCCTGCCGCATGATGAACCTGTGAGACTCTGGTTGTAAGATCTTAATTGCTCACCTCTCTTCCTCTGTAGACCATTTCTGACTAGTTCACAGCCATGTAGCCTCAGCCCCTAGCATTTATTCATTCATTTAACAAACATTTATTGAGCCCCTACTATGTGCCAGGCACTCTACTAGGTGCTGGGGAGACAGCTGAGAAAAGAGACTTGGTCCCTACCCACACAGAGCTTGTGTTCTAATGGATGGCGGGGAAAGAGAGGGAAAAAACCAGTAAGTAATATAATTTCAGATGAGTGCAATGAAGAAAACAAAACAAAGTAGTAGGATAAAAAGCCATGGGAGAAGTGGCTGCTTTAGGTGGGAGGTCTGGGAGGCCTCTTTGAGGAGGCAACATTTGAGCTGGGCCTTGATCTGGGAGAAGGAGGAAGCCAGGTGAAGATCTGGGGAGGAATGTTCCAGGCAAAGGGGCAGCAGGGAGGCCTGTGTGCTGCAGGGAAGGTTGAGGGGAGGAATGAGGGCAGGAAAAGGGGATGAGGATGGAGGGGGAGTGGGAAGATTATGTATGGACTTGGCTGCTTGGCTTCCAAAATTTTTGACCATGACTCACGGTAAGAAATACGCTTCCCTCCACGATCCAAGTTCGTGCACACATATGTGACTGAAACAAGTTTTTTTTTTTCTGTTGTACTTTAAGTGAAAGGTTACAGTTCAAGTTAGTCTCTCATACAAAAGCTTATATATACATTGTTATGTGACCCTAATTGCTCTCCCTATACTGTGACAACACACTCCTCCTTTCTACCCCTGATTTGTAACTGAAACAAGTTTGAGGAAATGATTCTTCCCCCTACAGCATGTGATGCACGCAGATATTTTCTATTCTATTTCATTTTTTCAATGAGCTGGTTGCAGTCCACTGAAATGATTTTATGGATTGTGACCTGAAGTTTGGCAAATGCTATTTTAGACCGTGGTAAGGAATTTGGATTTTACCTTATTTTTTAAAAAAATGTTACTATCATACAATAAAGTTAACTTTTTTTTTGGTTGTGTACAGTTGTTTGAATTTTTGGATTTTATTTTAATCACTGAATATAGTAGGTGCTCAGTGATGGTCTGTTGGATTCTGGGCTATCCCTGCCCACTTGGGGATAGGCAGGGCAGTTCTGTCGACCCAGGGAACCAGCCCATTTTCCAGAACCATTGGGTCAGCACCATGTGGTTCCCCTTCTTTTCCTTCTTTTCAACTCCATGCCCTGTGGGAGGGAGCTCCCCTTTCTGCCCATGCTGAGTGCCCTCCTAGTCCTAATACTATGCTGTTTCATTGCTGTTCCTGTTGACTCAGCATAGTAAGAATTACTGTCCCCAGGGCACAGTCCCCTGGTCCTGCTCTTGTCTCACTGCATTGGGCGGTCTGCTTAGAGGTGATGGCAATGGCTCAGATCTTACACAAGGGTGAGGAAGGGCCTCCTGGGACCCTGGGGTCTCCACCTGCCTCAGGGCCCCTTCCCATCTCTTGGCAGCTGGCGTGTCGCCACCCAGAAAGGGCTTGTCACCCTCCTCCCCGCCTTCTGAAGCAGCCATCCCAGTGGAACCAGGAAGCAAGGCTCAGGTAGAGGCCTGGGGCGGAGGGCGGGGTGGGGGTGGAGGGGGTGGGTCTGTAGACAGCTGCCATCACAGTGACTGTCATGTGGGGAAGGAGGTTCTGATGTGTGCAGAGGTCATTTTCTTGCCCCATGGGGTTTGGAAATAGGGCTCTCAAGGGCCCCTGGAGATGAGCGGGCATAGGTCAGACAACCCATTTCTGTGGAGCCTCATTTCTTTCCCCAGTGTTCAGGTCGGGTCTGGTGATACAAGGCCTGGGAAGGGGAGAGAGGGTAGTCACAACCTGACTTTGCCATTATGGATCCTCAGGAGTTAAAACAAATTCTCCCCTTGAATTGCCTTGCAGAACTTTTAACTTCCCTGATTTTGTTTAATCCTTTCAACAGCTGTGGGAGGTCCTGTTAATGCAGCTGAGGAAACTGAGGCTCAGGGAGGTTTAATCATTCATCCAGGGTTGCCCCAAGTAGGGTCATACCTGCTTCAAGGAGCTTAGAGGTGGTGATCCCAGCTCTTCACATCTGGACAGCACTTTACAGTTTGCAGAGGGCTTTTCCTACGTGCTGCCATCTGCTGCTTGCTAGAGGGCTCCGTTGTGGGGGCTGGGGGGGCGGGGGCTGGGAGCCAGACCCTGGGCGGGTTCCCAGTGAGCATGGCTGGGGCTGAGATGAGCAGGGGTTATACAACTCCATTTTGCAGGTGGGGACAAGGCCCAGAGACACGAGCAGCTTGCTTGAGGTCACAGTGCTTAGAAGTAGAGAAATGGTGTAAGCCAGCTCAGCTGGAGGAGGGGAGGACAGAGGAGGCAAGTCTAAGAGGACAGTGACCCAGTAGAGAGGGTCAACCCTAAGGCATGAGGGAGGGGCAAGAGCAGCCCAGGGGAAGGGCCCCTCAGAAACTGGAAGTCAGGGTTTGGGTGTTCCTGTCCTGGCTCAGTGACCTTCAGCCAGCCTCTTCCCCAGTCAGGGCCTCATTTTGCTTGGTGACAATCTCCCATCCTCTGCCCCGCCTAGGACTCTGATGAGATACAGATACAGTTGATCCTCATTATCTGAGGATTCCATATTTGCAGATTCACCTACCTGGTAAAATTTGTTGTTGTTGTGTGCCATGGAATTGATTCCAACTCATAGCGGCCCTATCGGACAGAGCAGAATGGACCCATATGGTTTCCTAGGCTTTGATCTTTACGGGAGCAGATCATCAGGACTTTTCTCCCACGGAGCCACTGTGGGTTTGAACTACCAACCTTTCAGTTAGCAGCTGAGCACTTAGCCATTGCGCCACCAGGCTCCTTAATTGTTTAGTAACCCCAAAATCAATCCTTGTGGGCCTTTGTGGTTAGTTGTGGGCATGCGTAGAGTGACGAAAAATTTGAGTCCTCTGACGCTTGTGTTCCCAGCTGAGGTGGAACAAGGCCATGCTCTGCCTTGTTTCAGCTCTTGTACTGTAAACAAGTAGTGCCACATTTTTCCTTTTTGTTCCTTTTGTTGGTGGTTTCTCTGTTTAAGATGGCCCGCAGGCTTAGTGCTGAAGTGCAGCCTAGTGTCCTTCAGTGAAGTGCCTTGCAGAGAAGATACATGGAATGAGTTACGGCCCTGTTGGCTGTGAGTTCCATGTTAATGAATCCACAGTATATACTAAATAATCCAACCCATTGCCATTGAGTTGATTCCGACTCCTAGCGACCCTATAGGACAGAGTAGAACTGCCTCATAGCGTTTCCAAGGAGTGTCTGATGGACTCCAACTGCCAACCTTTTGGTTAGCTGCCATAGCTCTTAACCATGTGCCACCAGGGTTCCATATACTAAATAAGGTGTCTTTAAACGGTGTAATGGTTGAGCACTTGGGTGCTAACCAAAACGGCCGCAGTTCAAACCCATCAGCCGCTCACTCTGCGGAACAAAAGACCTGGCAATCTGTTCCCGTAAAGATCAGCCTAGGAAACCCTATGGGACAGTTCTACTCTGTCCTATAGTGCCACTATGAGTCGGAATAGACTTGAGGGCAACGAGTTTTTGGTTGAAACAGAAACACGCATAAAACTAGGTTATGTATTGATCAGTTAACAAAAATGTTGTGATTAGAGGCTCACGGGAACCTAACCTTGTGTCTCCACTAGGAGCAATGGGTCAGTATACGTTAATTCAGTTTGTATTGACTTTCTAGGACATAAGTCCTTCGAATAGTGAGAATCGTCTGTCCATCACAATTGTGAAGCTTCGTGCATACCTGAGGGACAGTGGTCTTTAGAGGGAGAAGAGGGAGTGGTGTTCTTGAACCAGGAGGGCTGGTGACCGTGCCTACCCCATTTCCTGTAGGGTGAGGAGCTTTCCTCAGGCAGTCTATCGGAACAGGGCACCAACCAGACCCCCAGCAGCACGTGTGCCGCCTGCCAGCAGCACGTACACCTGGTGCAGCGGTGCCTGGCTGAGGGCAAGCTGTACCACCGGCACTGCTTCCGGTGAGTGGCTAAGAGGAGCTTGGTGGGGGGGATGCAGAGGACTTGCCCTCCATCACCCCTAGTGCCAGGGAAGGCTCTAGTATGAATTCAGCCCCCACAGTGTCCCAGGCACCTATTAGACTCTTCATGCCAGGTCATCTTGCTTAGCCCCATTTTACTGATGAACAAACCGAGGCTGAGTTTGTTGAGGGCTTGCTCAGTCACTCAGTTAGAGATAGGATTGGGGTTAGAGCTCAGAGATTCTGCCTCCAGTGCCCAAGCTCTTTCAGGAAAGTTACCTGATGACGAATTAAGGAGCCCTAGTGGTGCAGTGGTTAAGAGCTATGGCTGCCAACCAAAATGTCACCAGTTCGAATCTACCAGCTGCTCCTTGGAAACCCTATGGGGCAGTTCTACTCTGTCCTTTAGGGTCACTACAAGTCCGAATCGACTCAATGGCAACCAGTTTTTTTTTTTAATATACGGTACTTTAAAGAAGTCCCCGGGTGGTACAAATGGTTAATTAAAAAAATAACAACAGAACTGCTTGGTTGAAAACCACTAACTAAACTAACTTCTCGAACAACGAATGGGTGGCTGCTGGCACCCTGGATGGTACTCCTGGGGGTGAAACCTTTGCTTCCTCTTACTCCACAAACTGGTCACGTGTTTCACAATTTATGTTGCCAATTTCAGGTAATGTTATTGTTCTGCTATGTTTCTAACAGTTACTTTTTTTTTTTTTCTCCTCTGGGAAGTCCGGGGTGTTGATCTAGGATACTGGCTGGCAGTTGGGAGGGGAAGGAAGCACCTTGGCCGGCTGGTGGTGGGGTAGCCAGCGCCCGGCTGAGCTGAACCCCCTCTCTGTGTCTGCCCTGTTTCCCTGACAGGTGTCGGCAGTGCTCTAGCACCCTGCTCCCTGGGGCATACAGGAGTGGGCCAGAGGAAGGCACCTTTGTGTGTGCGGAGCGCTGCGCCAGGCTGGGCCCACGAGGCCGATCGGGGACCAGGCCTGTGCCCCTCTCACAGTCAAAGCAGCAGCACCAGCCACAACTTGCAGAAGAAGCCAAAGATGTTGAAGGAGGCTGCTCCACCCCTCATGTGGTGACAGTGGCTGAGGCTGACGGGCCCAAGGCCAGCCCTGAGGCCCGGCCCCACATACCCACCAAACCTCGCCTACCCAGCAAACCCCAGGAGCTGGCCAGCCCTCTGGCTGGTCGCCCCACACCTGCCCCCAGGAAGGCATCTGAGAGCGTGGCCCTGACACCCCCAACACCCCGACCCCGGTCAAGTCTGCAGCATGAGAACCTGGTGGAGCAGGGTGGCAGTGGTGGCCTCGTGAATGGTGAGCAAGGGTCCAGTGGGGGCAACACTTGATGGGTATAGTGTGTGAGTACATCTGTGTCTGTGTGTGTGGGGTTGCATGTCTGTGTGCACCTGAGAATTTTGGTGAAGCTACTGTCTTCCCTGGGTGGTGCAAATGGTTAATGCACTCAGCTGCTAATCCAAATATTGGAGGTTGGAGTCCACCCAGAGGTGCCTTGGAAGAAAGTCCTGGCAATCTACTTCTGAAGAACTAGCCATTGAAAACCCTGTGGAGCACAGTTCTATTCTGACACCCATCGCCATGAGTCAGAGTGACTCCATGGCAACTGATTTGGCAACTGTACCTGTGTGCCCTGTGTATGTGCTGGGGATTACCTGTGTTTCTAAGGTTATTAATTCATGCAACAAGTGCTGACTGAGTGCCTCTCTGTGCCATGCCTGTTCTGTTGTTGTTAGCCGCTGTCAAATTGGCCTCCGATTCATGGCAACCCCATGCACAATGGCTTAAACGCTGCCTGATCCTGAGCCATCCCCATGATTGGTTGCGGATCTGACTATTGTGATCCGTAGGGTTTTCATTGGCTGATTTTTGGAAGTAGATTGCCAGGCCTTTCTTCCTACTCTTAGTCTGGAAGCTCCCCGGAAACCCATTCAGCATCATAGTAACATGCAAGCCTCCACTGACAGACGGGTAGTGGCTGTGCATGAGTTGCATTGGCCAAGAATTGAACTTGGGTCTCCCTCATGGAAGGCGAGACTTCTACCACTGAACCACTATGGCCCTGTATGCCGGTTCTAGATGCTGGGGTACAACTCAAACAAAACAGTTGTAAATCCCCACCTTCAGGCTGCACCATTCTCTGTGTGTCTGATGTGTTTCTGGTCTTCTGTGTCTATCTTGTGTGCTTCTTTTCACCATGTGTAGTGAGCATACGCCCGTGTGTGCCTCTGCGTCCCTGTGTGTCTCTGGGACTCTGTGCACATCGGTGTTCCCTTGCGTCCTGGCCAGTCTGCGTACACAGTCCAGGTGACCTCCCATGCCCCAGCCCACGTGCTTGTCCTTGTCTGGCCAGAAAGAGCTCGGTCTCGGGGAGGGGAGGATGTATGCTTCATCAGGGGAACCTGAAGACTCTCCAGGCTGGTGAGAACTGCAGTGGAGACCCCTCCCTTACTCTGTGGGCCTGCTCTCCCCAGCCCCCTTGTCTCAGGACCTTCTCAGATGACCTCCCTGGGCATCCATGAACTCATGGAAATGAAGGCTCTGTGTAACCTGAGGTGTTCTGGGAAAACTTCTCACTTCTGTTAGCGAAGGCATTGGAGGCCTGGAGGAGAAAGTCTCCCAGGGTCTCCCTGAGACCTGCACCAGAACATTCTCTTTGTTCAGTCCGTCAGCACTCATGGAGGCCAGTCCTAGTTGTACCCTCAAGGTGCTGCCAGTCTCGAGGAGAGGCAGGCACAGACACAGGAATTTCAATCGAATGTAGAATCTGCTAAAATGAAGGGAAGCAGAGACTGTTTTGGAATTTGAGGGGACACTTAGGAGTTGGGCGTGGTGCTTTCAGGAGCAGGTGATGCCTGAGCTGAATGTCCTCCCCACGGTGGGGAAGTGTCTGGGAGGGCTTGGGTCCCCACTTGACGACTGAAGTGCACATGGGGTCTCCAGTGGCCTGGCCTTGACCTTGAGTGTTTTCTCTCCTGGTCACTTTTGTGCTTATCTAATCTCCCCCAGTGCTGGAGGCAAGTGCAAGGGTGCATGGGAGGTTGCCATGACCTGCCCGGTAAGAATGAAGGGCACTTTTTGGCAAGGCTGATGCTGGCTGGCTCCCCAGCTGCCCCACTCTGCTCTCCAGTGTCCGGCTGCCCATGAAGGCCTGTCTCATGCTCCTTTCCCATCTAGGAAGGCTGCACGAGCCACCCGTCCCCAAGCCCAGAGGGACACCCAAGTTATCTGAGAGGTACGTTGGTCCCCAAGAGGTTCTCCTGCTTTGCAGACCCTGGGTGTGAGAATTCAGAACCCCTGGGCTGGGGGGAAAAGCTTCCTGTGGGCAGTGACCCACCAGCACACCCCCCTAAGGATGGGCAGGCTGCGCCTGGCAGGAGGCACATCTCTGTGTGGGACGGGGCAGCTTCACCCACACCCCTTCCCCTGGGGCTCACCCTGGTATTTGCACAGCCGCCACCTTACCTCTCCCCAAGTCCCTGCACCTGTGGGCAGCAGAACCTGGCAGAGAAGCTAGCCTCTGGAATTACTTCACCTCTTTGAGCTTGGTGTCTTCTACTACACGGGAGACCGGGGTCTCTTTGTACAGTTGTTGTGAGGATTAGCAGTGGAGGATAGAAAGACCTAGAAGAGCTCAGCTGTTGTACCCGGCTCTCAGCCCCTCTACCCCTGGGACCCTGCTGCACAGGGAGGACAGCCATTTGCAGTTGTTCTTTGGGATCTGTGCTTGCCTTGCATGATCCCTGAGAGGGAGCAGTGGCCACAGCTGTAGCAGTAGGTGACATTTATGAGCACAGTGCCAGGCACTGCCCAGTGCTTCACGTGCTCTCATTGACTCCTGATAACAATCCTGTGAGGTGGGTGTTATTATTACCCCATATAATGGATGGGGAAACAGATACACAGAGAGGCCAGGTAACTTTCCCCATCTCACACAGGCTGTAAGTGATACAGCCCTTTGTTGGTCCTTTCCTGGACTAGGGTAGCAATGGCCATGTGACTTGAAGGTTCACCTCCAAGGGACCCGGTTGGGATATGAATGGACCAAACAGGCCCTGCTCCGCTTGGGGGGAAAGGGGCGGGGGCAGTTTCTCAAAGTGGGTGCCCTTTCAAATAGACTCAGAGGTGTCCAGAGAGAGAAGGAAGCTGAGCCCTCGCCTCTCACAGTGGTTTCTGCTTCTTTCTGCCTCCTTTCAGGACGCCGGCTCCTAGGAAGGACCCCCCGTGGATCACACTGGTGCAGGCAGAGCCAAAGAAGAAGCCAGCCCCTCTGCCCCCGAGCAGCAGCCCCGAGCCACCAGGACGCAGGCAGGTGGAGAATGGCAACATGGAGGAGGTGGCCCCGCAGAGCCAGGTGGCCAGACTGGAGCCCAAGCCCTACAACCCGTTTGAGGAGGAGGAGGAGGAGTCCCTGGCTGCATCCAGCCTGGCCACTGGCCCTTCCCTGGCCCACCCAGAGTCCACGCCCAAGTCGCTGCACCCCTGGTATGGCATCACCCCCACCAGCAGCCCTAAGACAAAGAAGCGCCCCGCCCCCCGAGCGCCCAGTGCGTCCCCGCTCGGTGAGTGTCATTCCCGGGGAGTTCTCCTGACTGCTGGAACTTGGGGTATAGGTGGGTGGGGGCCAGTACAGGGCTGGGGAAGGGGGCATGGTATCACGGATCCTTTCCAGGCTGGGTGCCATGTGTTTTACATGTATGTATTTTCCCACTTAATGCTAGAACAAACCTGTGAGGTGGGTATTGTTACCCCCATTTTGCAGGTGAAGAAACTGAGGCATAGAGGGAGTAAGTAAATTGCCCAAGGCCTCCCTTCAGCAGTGGAGGCAGGATTTGAACATAAGCAGTCTGGCTCCAGAGTCCATGTTTTTTTTTTTTTTTTTTTTTAAATTGTTGTGCTTTAAGTGAAAGTTTACAATTTAGTCTCTCATTCAAAAATGTATACATACATTGTTATGTGACCCTAGCTGCTCTCCCTATACTGTGACAGCACACTCCTCCTTTCCACCCCGGATTTCCCGTGTCCATTCAACCAGCTCCTGACCCTCTCTGCCTTCTCATCTCACCTCTGGACAGGAGCTGCCCGTTTAGTCTCATGTATCTACTTGAGCTAAGAAGCACACTTTTCACGAGTATCATTGTATGTCCCATAATCCAGTCTAATCTTTGTCTGAAGAGTGGCCTTGGGAATGGCTTTAGTTCTGGGCTAACAGCAAGTCTGGGGGCCATGTCTTCCAGGGTCCCTCCAGTCTCAATCAAACCGTTAAGTCTGGTCTTTTTACTAGAATTTTTTGAGTTCTGCATCCCACTTTTTTCCTGCTCTGTCAGGGACTCAGAGCCCATATTCTCACAGGGCTGTTGTGAGAATTGAATGCATAACTGGTACAATGCTTAGCAGTGTTGGGCTCCTGGAAAGCCTCGGTAGGAGCTAGCTCTAATCCTGCCTAACTCAGTTACTCTCACTCCAGTTGCCAGCTGACCTGAGCGCTGACCTCGCTGTGTATGACTTGAGCGTAGTTATTTTGAGCAGTTCCTGCCCTGATTCTGTCCTCAGTCTCCCGATCTGTAAAATGGTGTGGTGGGCTGGCTCCAGGGTGCTTTGCTTCCTCCCTTGTCCAGGCATGTTGTGTGTTTTGGCTCTCACTTTGTCTCAGTCTTCTTAGGCCCTGGGCTCATCACCTTTCACCATGGCTGGGGTCTGGCTGCTCCGAGACTTCAGTGGGACCCCGTCAGACAGCGGGGCTGAGAACATGTTAGTTATGACCAGAGGCAGGTGGTCCGAGGGCCCTGCTGGAGCCCTGGGACCCGCTAGCTGTGTTTGGAGGGGTGAGCGGGCACAGGGTGAGAGGACGTGCATCAGCTCTGGAGTCAGACCCAGCCCTTGCTGGGGCACGTTACTTCTCCTCTGAGTCTGCTGCCTCATCTGGAGAATGTCAGATGAAGTGTATTGTGAGGGTTGAAGTGGTGTGTGGAGTGCCTGGTGCCGAGCGGCCACTGCAAGGGCTGCGTCCCCTCCCCATCCACTGTGGGGTCAGTGGCAGAAGGAGGCTGGCCTCGCTTTTGTCTGGCCTCCCAGTGCACCATAGTCACGTCTCCCTCACCTGGCAGCTTCGCCTTTCAAATTTGACTTTGCTTTGGGTGAGACTTGGACGTAGCGGGGCTGTGGGGAGTGGAGGCGGCAGACATGCTGGTGAGGAAACCCGGGACCATAAATATGCCATGCGGTGCAGGCGGGGCACCAGGAGTGTTGGAAACACTAGGATACCGTGATCCATGTTATGAGTTTGGTCACATCATGTGTTTGCTGCTCTCTCGGCCTCGGTTTCCCCACCTGGACATGGAAAGGGTAGGGTTTCCAGGGCCACATGCAGCTCTGTTGAGGGTGGAGCATGTCTGGTGGGGCTGGAAGCCCAGACTGAGCCCCTTCACGTGGTGCCCACTTTCTCGTTCATATAGTGCTCCACACCTCCCGCCTCTCGCACTCGGAGCCCCCCTCGTCCGCCCCATCACCCGCCCTCAGCGTGGAGAGCCTGACATCCGAGGGCTGCAGCCAGACCACTGGCCAGGAGCTTCTGGAACCGCCACCTGTGCCTAAGAGTTCCTCGGAGCCTGTGGTCCACGCCCCTGGCCCACCCAGCACCTCTGCCACTCTGTCTCCCGACTCCTCCCTCTCCTCCTCGGGGGAGCTGGTGCAGCCCAGCACAGACCGGACACCTCAAGCCAGCCCTGGCCTCATCACCAATACTAGGGGCAGCCCAGGTTCCCAGGCAGCCAAGCCTTGTAGTGGCACTGTCCCTACCCCTATCCTGCTGGTTGGAGACAGAAGCCCTGCACCTTCCCCTGGAACCTCATCCCCCCAGCTTCAGGTAAAGGTGAGTGTCCCTTCCACCCTTGATAAAGTACAAATCCACCATCCATCTATGCACCTGTCAACCCACCTGGCCCTTCTAGTGACCCACAGGTCCATGTACTTACATATCCAGACACTGGCTTACCTGCCTCTCCACTGTGCATTCACCCACTGGGATCCAAGCCCAGCCACCGTCCACCATCCTCTGTCCACTTTCCATTCCATTATGCCAGATCCTCAGCAGAGCTGCAGTGAGACCTTGTCCTTGCCCTACAAGGGCTCCACTGCTGGGGCATAAATGAGCGACCTACAAGGCCATCTGGGGCAGAAGTCTCAGGGGCACAGGAGAGATGCTGACTCCCTTCTTGGGGTCATTTTTCTTCTCCTAAGACCTCGTCTCCCCTCCTGTAAAATGGGGCAGATGGCATTCATTGAGTAGCTACTGTGTACCCGGGCTGGTCCTGGGCTCCTGGGTGATGTGGACATGGTCCCTGTCCTCATGGTGCTTGCAGCCAGGTCTCCACTGTGTGCTGAGTTTGTCGTGGGAGGGGTGAGTCCCTGACAGGCAGAAGGACCTAAGAAACACCTTTATTGAGCTCCTGTGGTGTGCTGTGCTAGGTGGGTGGGGGGGTATTCACAAAGGAGAGCAGACCCAGCCCCCTGCCCTCTGGGGCTCCTGCCCCAGGCCTTGCCCAGACCCTTGCTGAACTGTCTCCTGTCTGCTGTGGAGTTGGGGGCAGGAAGGGCCTTGCTGGGCTCCATCCCAGGGAGCTCGTTTTCCAGATGATCCTTTGGGGTTGTTTGCTCACTTGTTTGTTGGCCCCATGCAAAGAACCCAGGGGTCACCAGGGTGGGGACAGAGTTCATGGAGGGTTTTTTCGCCTCCATCTGTGCCACCTGGTTCTGTGCATCCACTTTCACCTGTACTCAACAACCCTGGGCATGCCCCAAGGCTCTCCTGCCTCTGGGCGGAGGGTGGCAGGAGAGTTCACGGGGGTGGGGGTGGGGGGCTATCGTCATTCTTGTGGCCTGACGCTGTTGGTCCAGCCCCTACCTGTGTGCCAGGCACTGAAGGTGTACTTTTCTAACATCATTTTATTCTTCCCTGCCCCTGCTCCCACAGCCACTTGTGGGCTAATTCAGGCTCTGTCACTCCCTGCCGGGTGACCTTGAGAAGGCCCCGCCCCCCCCGCCCCCCCCCCAGGCCTCAGGCTCCCAGGGAGAGTGAGGGGCTGAGGGCAGCTGCTCTGAGGGCTCCCTGGTGGTGGGAGGTGAGGGTCAGCTTTGGCTCCCCACCCCATTTCAGGCAGCCCCCTGGTAAGCACCTGTTCCCTGCACTGTGGATCTGTGAACAATCTGGTTGAAGCAGGAGTTCTGTGGCCAAGCAAAGGCTGCAAACCCTGGCGGTGGCTGAAGGTCCTGCTGTTCAGGCCAGCCCAAGGGCTTGGCTCTTCTGGGCCCCTCTGGTGTGTGTGGAAGGAGGGGCAGAGCCCAAAGGGGGCTTCCTCCTGGGGGCACCCCCATTCCCCACCCTAACCCCAAGATTAGGAGAGAGCCCCAGAGGCAGTGGGAGCAGAAGACAGGGAGGGGCTCATTGGGAGGTAGTGGCCCTGTGAGAACAAAACCCTGCCCCCTTGCTGTGCCCGGGCTCAGGCTCTGGCATCTTCCATGCTTCGGAAAGCCCAGAGCAGCTAGCAACCTGAAGACGGTTCCCAAGCTGGCAGGTGAGGTGAGCAGGCCTCCCCACCCAGCTCTGGAGGAAACTGGGTAAACACTCCGCAGAACACGCCCCAGCCTCACTCGAGGCCTCTCGAAGGGACCTATGAGGCAACTCTATTTCCAACAAGCTGAGGATAGTGGTTGGAAAACATTGGCGTTGCCTGGGTAGCAAGCATGCCCAGTGGTAGGGCCGGCCACACAGAGAGCTGGAGTCTGCCCAGAGGGACAGGAAGACATTGGCCTGACTCTGACTGTGTGTGTGGTGGCATGAGACTTCTTGCCCTGAGTACCTGAGTCCGCAGAGGGTGAGGTCTTTTCCTAGGCAGGGATGGAGATCCCCTCCTCTTTCAACTGCCGGCCACATGGAGGGGCGATCCCAGCTTTCACACTTCCTGGCTGGGCCACGTTCTGACCACTGCCCCCTAGTGGTAGATGGCTGCCCCAGCCCTGAGACGGACAGCTTCTCCCCTCAGCTCAGGCCCTTGTGAAGTGTGTGACCTTGAGAGAATTATTAACCTCTCTGAACTTGAGATTACTCAGCTATACAATGAGCATTACGATGCCTACTTTGCAGGGTGGTTGTGAGAATTAAACCAGGATGTATAAAAAGCATCCACTGCAGCACTGGCACGTGAAGTGTTCTGGAAATGTCCGTGAAATGACTGAGTGCATTGGAGACTGTGTGCTGACAGATCCGCTCTGCCTGGACCCCCTCCCTGGAGGCGAGCCCTCCTGCCCCTGGGTCCAGGCCTGCTTCCCTCATTCCCACATGAGCATTCTTCCCCAGGCCAGGGTCGGGCTGCCGGGGTCTTTACTGCCCCTCCCCAGTCTTCTGTTGTGTCTCCCTGCTTTCAGTCTTCCTGTAAGGAGAATCCTTTTAACCGGAAGGCATCACCTGCAGCCTCCCCAACAACAAGGAAGGCCACCAAGGGACCAAAGCCAGCGAGGCCACCTGCTCCAGGACATGGCTTCCCACTCATCAAGCGCAAGGTACCGATCGGGAGCCCCCAGGGACCCAGCTGCCTGGGCTTGGCACCCTCAGGCTTCCTGGGAGGCTCTCTGAGGGGCTGGGCTATCTAGGCCAGAGACAGGTGCCCTCTGATGTCCCAAATAGGGTCTTAGGTGTCCAACTGGAGAGTTTAATTTGCAGCCAAGGGGGATTTAGAGTAGACCAGGCATTTTCAACCAGGAGCAGCGGAGGTGCATTTCATGTTACTAATAATAGTAACCATAGGGTTCATGTGATATACTTCCACTTAAAGATACTAGAATGTTCTCCATATTCTCCAGCTTATCTCTATAACAGGGTCACTCGCTCACACAGTGATATCCTTTCTAGAGTGATGGAGAAGGGGGAGGAGTTTCCATGAGGGGACAGGAAGTTGTGTCTGCCCTGGGTGTACCTGCCATCACCACACCAGCCCCTGCCTCATGTATTGCCATGCTGGCCACACCTGTGGTGGCCAATGGTGGTTGGACAAAGGGGCGAAGCTCCTGGCAGTAGCCTGTGCTGTAGGAGGGCAGGCAGGGAGAGGGGTTGGCTGTCCTTTAGGTGACTGGGGTGCTGTCATGCAGGTCCAGGCTGACCGGTATATCCCCGAGGAAGACATCTACGGAGAGATGGACACCATTGAGCGCCAGCTGGATGCCCTTGAACACCGTGGCGTCCAGCTGGAGGAGAAGCTGCGCAGCGGGGTGAACGGTGTGGAGATCTGTCGTGAGGGCTTGAGGGGTGGCAGCAGTTTCTGTCCCAGGGAAGGGCAGCAAGGGCGGGAAGGGTTGGCCAGCCCCAGACCTCAGTAGGCATCTGGCTTGCAGAGAGCCATGAGGACGACATGCTGGTGGACTGGTTCAAGCTTATCCACGAGAAGCACTTGCTGGTACGGCGGGAGTCCGAGCTGATCTATGTGTGAGTCCGCTCTCCTCCCTGGGCCCCGAGCTTCCCTTGCAGAATCCATGGAGCTTAGAATCGAAAATCTTCCTGATCTTCCTCATCACTGGCAGGGCAGGGCAGGGTGGCCTCCAGCTCGAGGCAGAATTGCTAATGGTTGGCTTATTCCCACTCTCCAGCTTCAAGCAGCAGAACCTGGAGCAGCGCCAGGCTGACGTGGAGTATGAGCTCCGGTGCCTTCTTAACAAGCCGGGTGAGTCCAGCCCGCATGCGTGGCGGCACTGCCCTGGGCTGGGCCCTGGTGACGTGGAAGAGGGGTTGGGAAGGGGTTGGATAGAACTGGGCTCTGGGTTCCAGGCCCAGGGGGATGGACAGAGTCGGGCTCTAGGCCCCAGGCCCAGGGGGATGGACAGAGCCAGGCTGTAGGCTTCAGGCCCAGGGAGATGGAAAGAGCCGGGCTCCAGGCTCCAGGCCCAGGATGATAGACAGAGCCGGGCTGTAGGCTCCAGGCCCCAGGGGGATGGACAGAGCTGGGCCCCGGGCTCCAGGCCCAGGGGGATGGACAGAGTCGGGCTGTAGACACCAGGCCCAGGGGGATGGACAGAGCTGGGCTGTAGGCCCCAGGCCCAGGGGAATGGACAGATCCAGGCTGTAGGCTTCAGGCCCAGGGGGATGGACAGAGCCGGGCTGTAGGCTCCAGGACCAGGGGAATGGGCAGAGCCGGGCTGTAGGCCCCAGGCCCAGGGGGATGGACAGAGCCAGGCTGTAGGCTCCAGGCCCAGGGGGATGGGTAGAGCTGGGCCCCGAGCTCCAGGCCCAGGGGGATGGACAGAGCCGGGCTGTGGACCCCAGGCCCAGGGGGATGGACAGAGTCGGGCTCTAGGCCCCAGGCCCAGGGGGATGGACAGAGCCAGGCTGTAGGCTTCAGGCCCAGGGGGATAGAAAGAGCCGGGCTCCAGGCTCCAGGCCCAGGGGGATGGAAAGAGCTAGCTCCAGGATCCAGGCCCAGGGAGATGGAAAGAGCTGGGCCCCGGGCTCCAGGCCCAGGGAGATGGACAGAGCCAGGCTGTAGGCTTCAGGACCAGGGGGATGGAAAGAGGCAGGCTCCAGGCTTCAGGCCCAGGGGGATGGAAAGAGCTAGCTCCAGGATCCAGGCCCAGGGAGATGGAAAGAGCTGGGCCCCGGGCTCCAGGCCCAGGGAGATGGACAGAGCCAGGCTGTAGGCTTCAGGACCAGGGGGATGGAAAGAGGCAGGCTCCAGGCTTCAGGCCCAGGGGGATGGAAAGAGCTAGCTCCAGGATCCAGGCCCAGGGAGATGGAAAGAGCTGGGCTCCAGGCTCCAGGCCCAGGGGGATGGACAAAGCTGGGCTGTAGGCTCCAGGCCCAGGGGGATGGACAGAGCCGGGCTGTAGATACCAGGCCTGGGTGGATGGACAGAGCTGGGCCCCAGGCTGCAGACCCAGGGGGATAGACAGAGCCAGGCTGTGGACCCCAGGCCCAGGGGGATGGACAGAGTCGGGCTGTAGGCTCCAGGCCTAGGGAGATAGATGGAGCCGGGCTGCAGGCTCCAGGCCCGGGTGGATGGACAGAGCTGGGCCCCAGGCTGCAGGCCCAGGGGGATAGACAGAGCCAGGCTGTGGGCCCCAGGCCCAGGGTAATGGACAGAGTCGGGCTGTAGGCTCCAGGCCTAGGGGGATAGATGGAGCTGGGCTGTAGGCTCCAGGCCCAGGGGGATGGAAAGAGCTAGCTCCAGGCTCCAGGCCCAGGGGGATGGAAAGAGCCAGGCTCCAGGCTCTAGGCCCAGGGGGATGGACAAAGCTGGGCTGTAGGCTCCAGGCCCAGGGAGATGGACAGAGCCAGGCTGCAGGCTCCAGGCCCAGGGGGATGGACAGAGCTGGGCTCTGGGCTCCAGTCCCAGGCTGGCCCAGATGAGTGGGTGGTAGCAGATGCCTGTCCAGGGGCAGCACTGGGTTCCCAGCCAACAGGTCATAGCATGGCAGGACTTCACCAGTGAGGGACAGGAAGGGCAGCAGGGCCTAGGGGAGAGGGAGGGCAGCAGGGCCTGGGGTAGTGGGCACAATGGGAGGATTAGACAGCCCTGGGTTCTGCCACCAACTTGCTGGGTGACCTTAGGCAGGTTCCTGGGCCTCACCAAGCCTCAGTGGCTTCATGTGTGAGATGGGCGTGAAGATACTACCTCCTAGGACATCCGTGGAATCAAGGGAGATGGTGGACATGGAAGGGCTCTGTGCTGCCTGAGGGGCTGGTGGTTATTATGCAGCTGAGTTGGGGTCTTACATGCCCTGTGCTGGGACACCAAGTGAGCCGCAGCTGCAGGCAGAGCAAGACCACAGGGCTTTGGCATGTCCCGGGCTGGGAACCAGGGTTTCTTATCACTCCCTGTAGCCAAGAGTGGTGCTTCCACGTGGCTCCCCTTGTTTTGGCCTCATGCCAGCCCTAGATGGCAGGAATCCTTGTTCCCATTTAACAGAGGAGGAGCTGGAAGGCAAGAGAGCTTAACAGACTTACCACTAGTGGTGGAGTTGGGCTTCCTTCCAGGTCTCTGAGCCAAGCTATCCTCTGACACACAGCCCCCCCTGCTGCTGAGGTGGTGGCCCTGCCTCTCAGTGACTGGGGGACTTGGGAGGCTGGATGAGGTCCAGAGGCAGTAGTGTCCATGGGGAAGCCATAGAAATGTCCCAGCCTTCCATGAGTCACTCCCAAATCTCCAGGAAGCTAGGTTGTTGTTGCAGCCTCTCCGCAGGAGCTGCAGCGACGTCCTGTGGCAGAAGTGGGAATAGCACCTGTGCATCCCTGGCCAGTCTGGCCCTGGGTTTATCGTATTGCTTCTGCAGCCCTTTGTGTGGTGGCAGCACATCCCGGGCTTGTCATCCTGTCCCAGACTTTGCTCCTGGAGAGCGAGACTGGTTTATAAGGCTGTGGAGGCCTTATAAAGTCACCATTAGTGGCAAAGCTTGAGGGTGTCGGGCTGCCTGGGTTCAAATACTTGCTCCACACTTGCTAGTGGTGTGACACTGCACCAGGACTTAGCCTCCTTGAGCCTCAGTTTCCCCACATGTATATCAGGGACAGTCACTGTACCAAAAAGAATTGGTCAATGTTCAACCATTTCAGGAGGTAGCATACGATCAAGCACTGATGGTATTGAAGGAGAAGTCCAAGCTGCACTGAAGGCGTTGGCTGAAAAACAAGGCTCCAGGAATTGATGGAATACCAGTTGAGATGTTTCAACAAATGGATGCAACGCTGGAAGCGCTCACTCATCTATACCAAGAAATTTGGAAGACAGCTACCTGGCCAACTGACTGGAAGAGATCCATATTTGTGCCCATTCCTAAGAAAGGTGATCCAACAGAATGTGGAAACTATTGAACAATGTCATTAATATCACATGCAAGTAAAATTTTGCTGAAGACAATTCAAAAGTGGTTGTAGCAGTACATCGGCAGGGAACTGCCAGAAATTCAAGCCGGATTTAGAAGAGGACATGGAACAAGGGATATCATTGCTGATGTCAGATGGATCTTGACTGAAAGCAGAGAATACCAGAAAGATGTTTACCTGTGTTTTATTGACTATGCAGAGGCATTCGACTGTGTGGATCATAACAAATTATAACATTGTGAAGAACAGAATTCCAGAACACCTACTTGTGCTCATGAGGAACCTGTGTATAGACCAAGAGGCAGTTCAGATAGAACAAGGGGATACTGTGTGGTTTAAAATCAGGGAAGATGTGCGTCAGGGTTATATCCTTTCACCATACTTATTCAATCTGTATGCTGAGCAAATAATCCGAGAAGCTAGACTGTATGAAGAAGAACGTGGTGTCAGGATTGGAGGAAGACTCATTAACAACTTGTGATATGCAGATGACACAACCTGAAAGTGAAGAGAACTTGAAGCACTTATGATGAAGATCAAAGATACAGCTTTCAGTATGGATTACAGCGCAACATAGAGAAAACAAAAATCCTCATAACTGGACTAGTGAGCAACATCATGATAAATGAAGAAAAGATTGAAGTTGTCAAGGATTTCATTTTACTTGGATCCACAATCATTGCCCATGGAAACACAGGCAAGAAATCAAACCATGCATTGCATTGGGCAAATCTGCTGCAAAAGACCTCTTTAAACTGTTAAAAAAGCAAAGATGTCACCTTGAGGACTAAGGTTTGCCTGACGCAAGCCATGACATTTTCAATCACCGCATATGCTTATGAAAGCTGGGCAATGAATAAGGAAGACCAAAGAAGAATTGATGCCTTTGAATATGGTGTTGGTGAAGAATATTGAATATGCCGTGGACTGCTGAAAGAATGAAAAAAATCTGTCTTGGAAGAAGTACAGCCAGAATGCTCCTTAGAAGTAAGGATGGTGAGACTTTGTCTCATGTACTTTGGACATGTTATCAAAATGGACCAGTCCCTGGAGAAGGACATCATGCTTGGTAAAGTAGAAGGTCAGTGAAAGAGAGGAAGACCCACAACGAGATGGATTGACACAGTGGCTGCAACAATGGGCTCAAACATAGCAACAATTTTGGGGGTGGTGCGGTACCTGGCAGTGTTTTGTTCTGTTGCGTATAGGGTCACTGAGTCGGAACTGACTTGGCAGCACCTAATAAAAACACTATATTGGGGACAACAGCTTACATGTGTCTCAGATTTGGGAAGTGGCAGAGTGGGATTTGAACTTGGGTAGATGATTCTGAAGCCCTTGCTCTGTCCCCAGGACTCTGCTGGGCCATTTGCTCCGTATTTCACCAAGGGTAGTGGGTGTAGGGAAGTGAGGGCAGTGGCTGAGAGGGCCTGGAGACAGAGAGGCCTTGGTGGAAGATGCTGTGGAGGGCAGGCTGAGAGTGGGCACCTGTCTTAGTAGTTTAGTGTTGCTGTAATAGAAATACCACAAGTGGGTGGCTTTAACAAACAGAAACTTATTTTCTTAGTTTTGTAGGTTAGAAGTCTGAATTCAGAGTGCCAGCTCTAGTGGAAGCTTTTTCTCTCTGCCAGCTCTGGGGGAAGGTCCTTGTCTCTTTTTAAGATCTGTGGGCCTGGTGTTCCTTGGAGATCTCATGTGTCTTGGCATCAGTTTTTCCCTGGGTCTAGGAGGTTCTCAGCAGAGGGGCCCCGGGTCCAAAGGATGCGCTTTGCTCCCAGCCCCTTGGCTCTTCCTGGTCATAGCAGGTCCCTCCCTCTCTGCTTGGTTTTCTCTGCTTTTATCTCTTGTAAGACAGAAGGTGATGCAGACCACACTCCCAGGGAAACTCCCCTTACATCAGATCAGGGCTGTGACCTGAGTAAGGGTGTTGCATCCCACCCTAATCCTGCCTCATTAACATAACAAACATAACCTAATCCTCTTTAACATGACCTAATCGTGCCCTATAGGGTCACTGTGAGTTGGGTTTGGTTTTTTTTGTTTTGTTTTTTTAAATTCCTGCCTCAGGAGTCCTGGTGGCTCAGTGGTTAAGAGCTGGGCTGCTAACCAAAAGGTCAGCAGTTTGAATCCACCAGCCACTTCTTGGAAACCCTATGCGGCAGTTCTACTCTGTCCAGTAGGGTTGACTACGAGTCGGAGTCGACTCAACGGCAATGGGGTAATGCTGCCTCATTAACATTAATGGGCAGCTCACTCCCAAATGGGACCATAACCACAGGCATAGAGGCTATGATCTTATATCACATCTCAAAATGGAGGAAAATCAGATCACAAAATAGAGGACAACCGCACAATACTGGGAATCATGGCCTAGCCAAGTTGACATATATTTTTGCGGGACACAATTCAATCCAAGGCAGCACCCATCCTCTAGGAGGCTGCAGGTGGGTGGGAGGAAGGCCCTGAGGATGGTCCTGTGGGATGGCTCTGGGGCCTTAAGAGGAGAGAATGCCTGGAGGTATATACAACATCAGGGAAACCTGGCTGGGCTTCTTGTCCCCAGTGTTCTGGTATCTTTTGGCACTTGGGCCTCCTCCATGGACTTGAAAGAATGTCCCAGTATGCCTCTTGGGTCACGTGACTTCTTCTGCATGGGAACCCCTGGGGCTCCCTGTTACCTTCCACCTCTGGCCCAGCTTTGCTGGCCAGGCGACCTTTAGGAACTCTTGGTGACCTGACTCGAATCCTGCCTCCCCTAAAAAACTACTAAGAAACATTTGTGGGATGGGTGGGTGAACACAAGGGGGACCCTGGGCTCACACTGGCCTGTGTTCTCAGAACATGTGTGGCACTGGCCCCCCAGGGCCCCCTTGAGGGAGTTTTTTGGTAGACAGCCTAGTATTCTTGCTCTCTGATATAATGACCTTCATTTCCCCAAGAACTTGTTACCTCCCCTATCTGGGACCCTTCTTTCTGTCATAATGCCCAGCCTGGCCCACAGCCTGCACTTCTTACTTAGGCGGTGGTTCCCGGCCTCCTGGGGGAGGCAAGAGGGTTTTCCCACTGCTCATACTCCCTATCTCTATTCCCTGGGCAGAAAAGGACTGGACGGAGGAGGACCGGAGCCGGGAGAAGGTGCTGATGCAGGAACTTGTGACCCTCATTGAGCAGCGCAATGCCATCATCAACTGCCTTGACGAGGACCGGCAGAGGTGACATGGCTGAGGGGTGGGAGCTCCAGCCAGGGTGGCCTCCCTGGGGAGGGGCGGGGTCCAGAGCAGGCCGTGCCTCAGGCCCCATGGGCCGGGCAGTGCCCGACACATGGTCCCCCACCCCAGGAGCAGGCCAGCCCTGCCTCCCTGACAGCAGTCCCAGTGTACCCTTGCTTGAGCCTGGGCGGAACTGGAGGCTGGAGGGGACTTGGAGATTATCTGTTCCTTCCTCCTGTGGGAGGCTCAGTTTCCCTTTCTTGTTGCAGGGAGGAAGAGGAAGACAAGATGTTGGAAGCCATGATCAAGAAGAAAGGTGAGTTCTGGAGCCATGGAGGCTGGATGAACTCTTGATACTATTGCCCTGAGATAATCTTTAGACCTTAAATTAAAAATATCCTGTGAAGTCTTCCTAGAAGCAACAATAGCTTAACTAGTACAGAATGTCTGCCTTGAGCATTGTGCTCTTTTAAGATCTAACTATATGGAATCAAACTGATACAGCAACTGAAAAGATTAGATAGGAACCTTAGGGGGCAGTGAGTTTATGTTAATGGCAGAGGAACAACTCAGAAAAGGAGGGTGAGAATGGTTGTGTAACTCAAAGAATGTAATCAATGCCACTGAATTGTACATGTAGAAACTGTTGAATTGATGTATGTTTTTGCTGTGTATATTCTCAACAACAACAAAAAATAAATTATTTTAAAAAAGAAGAAGAAAGATGAGGCCCCTCCTAGGAACGAGGCTGGTGCCAGGGGCTCTGGCCCATCTGAACCCGTGTGTGTGCTCAGCCCAGGGGTGGAGGGTGAGGGGGTGGGTTGAACAGAGGGTTGGAGTGGGTGCTACAGGGATGGAGGTGCTTAAGCATCTGTGCCTGTGTTTTTCTGGGAGGACTGTGTGAAAGGCAGGCCAGCTACAGCCAGGAATCTGTGGCTGGGCTCTCAGGGTGGGCATGGGATGCTCTGATACCCATGGAAGGACTGTGGGATGTGGGGCGGGCATTTTCCAGGGTGGGCTTGCCTTAAGCTGTGCACCACCTTGAGATCTGCAGCTGTTCTTGGGCTACCATGGGGGCATGAATAGTGCCTGGGATGGCTAAGAATGTCAGGAGCCCTGGGTTTTGGTCTTGGCTCCACCAGTGACTCCGTGATCTTGTGGTTAAGTCTGGACACTGGAGTCAGGCTGCTCTGATTCCCGTCCGAGCTCTGCCACTTATGAGCTGGGTGACTCTGAGCCAGCCCCTTCACCCCTCCTTTCCTGCAAAATGGGGATGATAATGACACCCACTTCAGGTGTGTGGAGGAGTCCAGAGATCAGCTGTGTAAAGCACTTAGCTCAGCTGCCGCTAGTCTATTTCAAAGAACCATGTTTTTCCTGTGTATAAAACGAGCGGCTTGGACAGACAATCCCCTGAGGTTTCTTCTAGCTCTGACAGTTGGTATTGGCTTCGCCTCAGTAACACACAGAGCTGTGAGCACCAGTCCAGGGGAGCAGGCACCTTTTACAGATACACTTATGCCCTGCTTCAGAGTTCCCAGACTGCTGTCATTTGTTTGTCTCCTGGTCCTTGCCAAAACACTGGGAATGGGGTATGGCCCCATTCTGTAGATGAAGAAACAGAGGCTCTGAATGACTGGCCCAAGGCTTCACTGTGAGGAGGTGTGGAGCTGGGCTGAACCCTTGTTGGCGGTTACTCCCATGCCTTTGTCCCCTGGCCTGCCTGGGAAGGACTCCCCTGCCCCCCACTCCTGTTAAGTGTTCCCCTTTCTCTTCTGCAGAGTTCCAGAAGGAGAGTGAGCCCGAAGGCAAGAAGAAGGGGAAGTTCAAGACCATGAAAGTGCTGAAGCTGCTGGGAAACAAGCGTGATACCAAGAGCAAGTCCCCCGAGGACAAGAGCTAACAGCCAGGGAGCAGCTGGGGACGAACACCACCTTCCTGGCTCAGCCCTGGGCTGGCTCTGCTGTGGGAAGCAGTTGAGAGGAAAGATGAATTCCGGGGAGGGAGCCTCTGGTTGACGGCCTCTCCCTCCTCAGGGCCCTCTGGCTGGTCTGGGCCAAAGAATGTTCTTTCCTCTTCTTTGAGCCTCAGGCAGCTGTGGCTCGGTCCTGCTCAGTCTGGTTCTGTGGAATCCAGATGCTGTGACTGATCCAAAGAGCAAGCAGGGTCCTGGGAGGGGCAGCAGCTGGTCACGCCCACCCCTTGTCCTGCCCAGTCTCCACTGAGATGGACATGCCCTTCAGTCCCTCCTCCCTTCCGTACCACATCTAGGTGGGATTCTTAGCCATAAAAATTCAGCACCGGAAGGTCCTTCCCCCTCACCCTGATGCACTCGGATGCACTGGCTGCTTCTTCCTGCCCAGCCCCAGTGTTGGGTCCTTGTTATCCCTCCCAGCCCAGGATTTTGGGACTCCAGCCCCTGAGTCTCACTTTCTCCTCACTCAGAGCTCTATTTATGGAGTTGAGTTGGTCATGGGGGTCTGTGTTGTGTCCTCACACGTGAATGGGCCTGACAAACACTTTCTTCTCTCCTCAAAGTTCTAGGAGATGCTTCTCTCATCTCCCCTATCTCATGGAAACCTCACTTCCTGGGACACAGGGCTGCGATGGCCATGCTAGAGCAGGTGGGCCCCCTCTGGCTCCCCTTAGTGCTGTGGCCATCATGGAGGGCCTCAGGGAGGAGGTCCAGTTGCAGTTCCTGGGTTATCGGCCTAGGGAGGGTGCGCTTGGAGTAGGTGCTAATCCTGATTCTTTAACATGTTTTAGTCTGGTCCCTAATTGAGAGCTTTCCTCCACCACCCCAGGTCTAGGATAGCGGCCCCTTTCCGTTCATGGCCATCATTGACCTGACTCCTCACACTCCTCTGTTGTCAGCTCTCTCCCTGTCTGGGATGGCTGTGGGAGAGGAGGAGCCGATGGGGACAACCACCTTTCCCCCAGGGAACGTGCCCAGCACCCTTGGTGGAAGCACTGTTGTCATAAGCTATCTCTGGGACATCTCTAAGGCCCCTTCCCTCAATACACCTCTGGGAAAAGACTGTACTGTATTAACGCACTAGAATTTTCCTCACCAACAATAAATGGAGATAGCTGCTGTTGCCAGCACCCTGTGCCACGTGGTGCTTTTCCCTCTGCAAGGTCAGCCTTCTTCCTGCCTTGGCCTCACCTTGTGGCTGGGCATCTTTGTTTGCCTAGGAAGGTCTGGGGCCATGTTGGGGCTGTCTACTGACAGGGGCCTCAGCCCTAACTGCCTGCCACTGGGCAGGGCTCCCCTTGCAGGGAGAGGTGGCTCCCGCACCTCTGTAGACCCTGGTGATCTTCCAAATGTGCCTGTTGACCTAGAGCTGGGATCCCAACTCAAGAGGCCTTCCAGGGGCCAGGCAGGGAACATACATGAACGGGCCGGATGTAACCAAAGGGGGAAGTTGTTCCTCGCTTAAGCCAACTGTAGCCTATGGGAGTGTGGGCCCAGTGTTGCCAGATCTTTCCACTTTTCAAAAGAAGCCAGAAATCTAGATTTTTGTGTGTGAAATTGTGTTGGCAACAAATTTGAAATTAAATCAAGGGCAGGCTGATACGGGGTTGTCAAGGGTGGGCTGGATTTGTCCTGGGTTCTCCAGTTTGCTGTCTCTGGCTCAGTGGAGGGGACTTCAAGACGGAGGCCAGCTGTTCTGTCCTGTCTCACCCTCTGCCCTCAGGTTCTTGCTGCTGGGCCTATGGAAAGTTCCTGAGACAGCCCTTGACCTGGCCCTCCCCTCTTATCTGTTGGTGGCTGCAGGGCCCTGTTTATTTTGCCAACCAAAACTTGGGTCAGGCTGGGTCATCTGACCTACCTGATGGGAGTCCCTCCAGGTGCAGGAGACAGTCCAGGAGGGGTGGCTGGAATTTCTAAACTCTTGGTGGTTTAGGGGACAGGAATATGACAGAATATTGGAAGATGTAGGTATTGGCTGGTATCAGGGCTCAGTCTGATCCCCCGACCCCTCTGTGTTTCTTTCTGTGGACAGGGGGTTTAAAGGAAAGCCACGAAGCTATCTTTAATCCTGAGTAGGTCCTTGGTTATGGTATCTTGGTGAGCCTGAGTTCTCATGCAGGAATTTCGAGCCATGGCAGAGGTTTATTGAGACAATGAAGTGAAAGTGTCTCCCACAGCCCAGTCCATCCCACAGCCCAGGGGTGCTTAAAAAGCATGTTGGTATTTCTACTTGATGTATGCAAACAGGTAGCCAGAAACCACTGGTGCTTAAAAAAATAACTCTCTGAACAAATAGTCCTTATCCCTTTGAAAACAAAACAGTGTGTGTAATGACCTACATTCAACGTGTTTTATCGGCCATTTAATTGTAGTTAAACATTTACCCAAGGCTGTTAAGAAGTCAACTAAGTAGGTCCTAAGGCAAGTAAGGAAGAAGGAATCTATTCCAAAATTCTGGAGACCCAGTGTGTAGGACACACAGAGGCTAAGGGGTGAGAAGAGGGCCCTGTTGGAATGTCCTTAGACACGTGTCCTGGATGGTGAGATGCTGGTCTGGCTTTCACTCTGTGGGACACTTTCTTCCAGAAAAGACTAAATGTGTGTATGTTATGTGTCTCTCGGATGCTCTAGCACCTGACCGTGCATCCCTGGACAGCGTCTGAGGAGAGTCAGCTCATTCTTTTGAGACGTGGCCCATTTTTTAGGGTGCTGGATTTGCCCAGGGTACCCTAGGCTAGGGCAGTGCTTTGCTACCATTTGACATGGCCGAAGGCCAGTTTAGGGGGATGACCCTGTTCAGCCAAGAGGCGGGCTTTGGTGGTCGAGGTTGGGGCGACCCTATTCCTGTCTCCTGAGACAGATTAAGCAGTGGTAAGAGCCTTCCTGAGCTCCTCACTCCTCTTGTAGTCAATATCTTCCATTTCCCGTAGTTTCTGCAAAAGGCATCAGAAAGCGGGCACCAGGGGTAGGGGCTTCAGGAGCCAGCACAGATGTGAACCTGGGGTGTGACCTCTGAAACCTGTGGCCACTGCTGACCCTTTATTTCTACTCACCTTATGCTTGCCCCCGACCCCCTACTCACGGTGGGTGCATCCCCTCCCCCAGGGCCCTGGTGGTCTCTCCCACCTGGGAAATTTCAGCAAGGATGATTCCTCGGTACTGCCTGCCCTGCCCCAGGGCCTCCATGGCAGCCAGGAACTCTTTCCTCTCCTGGATTTCCTTCACCACTGGACAGAGGAGAAGGGCCATCAGTGTTCACACGCTCCTGTGAGGGGTGGTGGGGGGCAGTGGGGACCTCGGGGAGGGGAAGTGGCTCTGTAGTCAAATGGTGTTTCTTTCTCACTTGGTGGCCTGCAGGGACCTCCTGCCACCAGATTCTGGGCCCCTCCACACACCCTTCCTCCACCAGTGTATTTGTACCCCCCAGTGGCTTACGTTGTTCAAACCGGTCCAGTTCAGGGGCTGGCTCCTCCTGGTGCACTGGAGGGGCCTTCCTTTTGCGCTCCTCTGGCTCCTTCCCAGTGGCAAAGATATTTTGGAGTCTTCGTTTCTCCTTCTCCAGATCTCCTGTAGGGCCCAGAGATGGCCTCTTAAGGGGTGAAGTGATCCCATTCATAGTCTGTGTTCCCAACTGGGCATGCTGGCTCCAAGGTGCCTGGGAAACTTGGGTAGGCCTTCTTTGGACCCAACACCTTCTACCCTGGGGCTCCTGGGCTTGTCATGTCAAGATAGGCAGGAAGGGGTTGAACGAACAGAAAAGAACCCTGCCAAACCCCCCACATGGCTTTGGTGCAGAGCAAAGACCATTCAGGCATGTGGGGCTTTGGTGCAGAGCAAAGACCATTCAGGCATGTGGGGCTTTGGTGATGTCTGTAGCAGAGGCCTGTATGAGGGGGCTGCAGGGAGATGTTAGGGGGTCTGGGTCAAAAGTTAAGTCAGATGCTAAGTGGGAGGGACGGGGAAGGACAGCTCTGTGAAGAGCACGGGAGTGCAGAGGAGCTCTGGATTTGAGGGACAATGTGTGCTTGAGAGCAGTGGCTGTAAGACTTGACAGCTGAACATGCATCAGGGAGGTCTGGGAAAAGAGAATCAGGACCACTGAACTGTCTCGCCTGGGCCCTGGACACCCCAAGCTAATGTGCCAAGGCTTGAAGCTTTAGTGTAAAAAGCCTGGGAATTGTGACTCCATAGATACCTGCTCCCCTGCCACCCTTTCCTCTCTCCTCCAGCCCGTGAGGGAGGTAGGAGAGGCTCGCCCAGCCCTCACTCACTGGTGGCTTGAGGCTTGAACTGCTCCCGAGTGTAGGCCCCGTTGGCTTGGCACATGCTGGCAGGCCGGAGGTGGGGCCGGGTGGCCAGGATGGGAGGCAGGTAGATGACTGAGGCTGGCTGCTTTGGAGGGGACACCCTCTGGCTGAATGTCGGGCTGCAATGCAGGGGCAGCGAGTCTCCTCCTGGGGAAGGCAGTGTCAGGGTGGGGGACCTGCCTGGCTTCTGTTTTTTAATTATAAAAACGACACCTGCTTCTTAAAATAAGTCGAACAGTACTGAAGGGTCTTCTCTGCTCGTTTGCAACTCTCCTTCTACAAGGGGCATTGGTAATTTGGTGGTCCCTTTGCATGCTTTTCAATACTTATACATGTTCAAAGACATATGTGCACTGTATGGTTTTTTTTCAAACACTGGATTATACTATATTCAATAATAGATTCTTTTCACTTAATTTACCATGGACATCCTTCCAGATGAATCCATTTATATATAACTTATTTTTCATAGTTGTCTGTTAGTCCTTAGAATGCATACATTATTTATTCAACTAGTCTCCTACTTTCAGAACTTCAGGTTGTTTCCAGGTTTTTGTTCTTTTTTTTTTAATTATTGCTTCAAACAATGCTGCAATAAACATCCTTGTTCATCAAGGCTTCATGCTGGTGCTTTTATTTCTACAGGATGCATTCCTGAAACCTGCTTGGTCCAAGGGTGGGGGGGCACAGTTTGGACGGTAACAGACACCTGTCCTCCTGCTGGCTGTCCCCACTGCCGCAGCCCCTGGTGCTCCTCCTCCAGGCCAGCCAGATGTGTCACCTCGTATCTGGTTGACTGTCCCTTCCTCTCAATCCCTGTAAAGCCCAGCTCAGAGCAGCCCAATCCGCTGTTTTGATCTGGCCCGTCTACCTTTCCAGCCTTTTGTCATCCATTCAGCAAATATATATTGAGCATTACTATGTGCCAGGCCCTGGACACTGGGGTTAAAGTGTTAGTAAGACAAAGTCCTGCCCTCTCCTTGGGGTGGGGGCAAGGATGATACAATAAGTACAATATATATGTTACAAGTATGTTAAAGAGCCTTAGAGGCACAGCGGTTAAGTGCTCAGCTGCTAACTGAAAGTTCGGTGGTTTGAACCTACCCAGCTGCTCCACAGAAGAAAGACTTGGTGATCTGCTCCTGTAAAGATTACAAGCTAGAAAACCTATGGGGTAGCTGTACTGTGTCACATGGGGTCACTGAGTCAAAAATTGACTCAACAGCATCCGATAACAACATACAGTATGTTAGATGGTGACCCACCACCTGTCAGTTTGTCATACTGTGGTGGCTTGTGTGTTGCTGTGATGCTGGAAGCTATGTTACCAGTATTTCAAATACCAGTAGGGTCACCCATGTTGGACAGGTTCCAGTGAACTTCCAGACTAATTCCAGACTAAGACTAGGGAGAAGGGCCTGGTGATCTGCTTCTGAAAATTAGCCAATAAAAATCTTATGGCTCACAACAGAACATTGCCTGACTCGCTTGCTTTGGACATGTCATCAGGAGGGATCAGTCGCTGGAGGAGGACATCATGTTTGGTGAAGCAGAGCGCCAGTGAGAGCAGGGGAGACCTTTGGAGAGATGGATTGGCACAGTGGATGCAATGATGGACTTGAACAAAGCAGTGATTGTGAGGATGACGTGGGACAGAGCAACATTTTGTTTTGGTGTACATAAGGTCGCCATGAGTCGGAGTTGACTCAATGGCAGCTAACTATGTAGATGGTGGCAGTGCAGGGATGGCGCATAGGGAGTATCATAGCAGGGCTTACAAGTTTAAATGCAGTGGCCAGGGCAGGCTTCACCAACAGTAGCATTTGTGAAAAGACCCCAAAGTGGTGAGGCCAGCTGTGCAGATATCTGAGGGAAGGGCATTCCAGGTGGAAGAAGCAGTGAGAGCAAAAGCCTGAGGTGGGAGTGGGCCTGGAGCATCTGAGGACAGCTAGGAGGCAGGGGGGTGGGGTGGGGGCAGAGGTCAGAGGGCATAGATGGCAACACAGTGCAGGGCCCTGGAGCCTCTGGAAAGACTGGCCTTTACTATAGTGGCACGGGCAGCCCTTGGAGGGTGTTGCGCAGAGGAGTGACATGCTCCCCTTTGGCTGCTGTCGAAACAGTGCAGAGGGCCAACGGCAGAGGTGTGGAGACCAATTTTGAGACTACTGAAGTCATGTCAGGGAGAGACGTTGGGGACCTGGGCCGGGCGGTTGCAGTGGGAGTGGGGAGAGGTGGGAGTATCAGGATCCTGTATGAAGGTGAAGCAGACAGGATGCTGACCAGCCGGATGTGGGGTCTGGGAGAAAGAGAGGAGTCCAGGATGACTCCAAGGTATCTGTCCCGACGAAGTGGGAGGATGGAGCTACCATTACTTCCCACTCACCTTCCTCTTCTCGCACCCTCCACCAAGGCCACTCTTCTCTGAAGAGATGCTGCGCTTCCCAGAATGTCCCTTCCTTCCCTTCCCCATTTCTCCTGTCCAGTGCCAAATGCTACCTCTTCCGCTGGGCCTTTGAGGCAAATAATTATGGCCTGAGTAACTCTGGGAGTTAAGGTGAAGGAATGGGATTTGTGGCTTGCAACAGAATTTAAGCTAAGCTGCAAAACAATGAGTAGAATCTGGTTAAGAGGAGAGACCTAGAGAGCAGATTCTAGAAGAGACCAGGCTCAACACCAAGGGTTGGGGGAAATTTTTTCAAAGAAAATTTAGCCAGACACAAAAGGACGAATATTGTATGACCTCATTTATATGAAATACCTAAAATAGACAAAAGCATAGAGACAGAGTAGATTAGTGGTTACTGCTGGAGCGGGGAGGGAGGGGATGGGAGTTACTGCTTACTGGGTACAGAGCTTCTGTTTGGGGTGATGGAAAAGTTTTGGAAACAAAACTGGTTATGATGGTGAGTGTGACTGTGAGTGTGATTAATGTCACTGGACTGTACACTTGAAAATTTTATGTTGTGTACCTTTTACTACAATAAAAAAAATGCGGGGGGGGGGGAAGAAAACTTTTTTTTTAAAAAAAAAAGAAAGAAAAGAAAACCAGGCAAACCAGGTACTTGGGTGGGCCTAACCACTGATGAAATAAATACCGAGCACCTGTTTTACGTGCTGGGGCTACAGTGAACAGGGCAGACCCAGTCCTTGGTATTTACTTTTTGTGCAATTTCTAGCACATTCTCTCTGTAGTCAGGCTACAGTTGACACCATATTATTAGTAGATTACTGAATTATGTGATTCAAATGTGTGATGGCACCAGGCCCTGGCAGCCTGAGATGTCCTTGTCCATGGTGAGGAAGCAGATCTGACCCCTGAACTGGCCTGACGGAGCCTCCCTCCCCTAGCCAGTGCAGGGTGGGCACAGCCAGTATTTGCCTGACTGTCCCTCCCTACACTTCTGTGGTCGATCAGATGCCCTCCCAGTAGGCACATTCATTCCTTTGAGAAGGCAATAGCTACCAGCAGATCTCAGTAACATCCAGCAAGCTTGGGCCTTCTGTGTAGAGAGGTGAGCTGTGGAAAGGCTTGGTGTATTCTTCCTAAGTGGGAATCAGCCGATCATCTTGTTTCTATTAGCTATGCTATGAATGAATAAAACTACAAACAAGACACATATACAGTCCTGTCCTTTGGAGAGCTCACATGGTATGCGTGTAACAAGGCGGGACAGATTACAGATGTGTTGAGACTGAGGTGTCCTGGTGGTGTAATGGTTAAGGACTTGGCTGCTGGCTGAAAGGTCAGCAGTTTGAACTCACCAGCCACTCCATGGGAGATATGGGGCAGTTCTACTCCGCTTTATAGGGTCACTATGAATAAGGATGACTGAAAAATTGATGCCTTGTATTATAGTGTTGGAAAAGAATACAGAATATACCATGGACTGCCAGAAAAACAAACAATTCTGTCTTGGAAGAAGTACAGCCAGAATGCTCCTTATAAGCAAGGATGGAGAGACGTTGTCTCACATACTTTGGGCATGTCATCAGGAGGGACCTGTCCCTGGAGAAGGACATCATGCTTGGTCAGCAAAAAAAAAGAGGAAGACTCTCAAAAAGATGGGCTGAGAGTGGCTGCAACAATGGGCTCAAACGCAGCAACAACTGTGAGCATGGTACAGGACTGGGCAGTGTTTCATTCTGTCATACATAGGGTCACTAGGAGTAGGAACCGACTCGATGGCAACTAACAACAACAACGTGAAATTGACTTGACAGCAACAGATTTGGGTTTGGTTTGTGTTAAGACTATTTGGCTGGACAGAAAGTTTCCATTGGGCTGAGATTCTTTGGGAAGCTCAGCTAGAGCCAGACCTGCAGGAGAGTTGTCATTGTACCAGCACCTATGTCCAGGGAAGAGACAAAGGCCGCACTGGGTCAGTTCCACAGGAGCAAGGATCGGAGATACCATGTTTGTTTTTTTTTTTTTTTTTGATCTTTGTCTTTTAAAATGAGGTCCCTCACTCCTTAGTATTGAAGAGCATACAAAATGTGGCCCAGAATCCCTCTGCCCAGGAAGTCTCTGCTGACCACCTCTTACTTTTCATGGTGTCCATGATGTGGCGCTGCTGGAAATTGGTCAGTTTGGATTCCTTCATCATCACTGCAAGATAAAGCATCTCTGTGAGGCCTACTGGGCTGCAGACAGACGCCTTCGCCCTACCTTATTTAAAATTGTACCCCTCCATTCTGCACCCGAACACAATATTCCGCTCTGCCTTCCCTGCTTCATCTTTTTTACAGCACTCATCACCATTTAAGTTCTATACATGTAACTGATTTATTTGTTGTTATCCTCTTACTAGATTAGCTCCATGAGGGCAACAATTTTTGCTGTTTCTTCCCCGTTTTGTTAACCTCTGTATCCTCAGCACCTACAACAGTGTCTAAAACATATATATAAACCAAAAACAAACCAGTTGCCATCGAGTCCATTCTGACTCATGGTGACCCCATGTGTTGCACAGTAGGACAACGCTCCAGAGGGTTTTCAAATCTGTGAGCTTTTGGAAGCAGAATGCCAGGCCTTTCTTCTGAGGTGCCTCTGGGTGGGTTTGAACCTCCAACCTTTCGGTTAGTAGTCAAGTGCTTAACCATTTGTGCCACCCAGAGACTCCTAAAGTACACAGTAGGCTCTTAAAAAAACGTTGAGCAAATCAAAGAGCAAGTATTCATTAAGCCCGTGCTAGAGGCTGGGGCTGCAATGGTGAGCCCCAACAGGCACAATTCCTGTCCTGACGGAGTTCATGATCTAGGGAGAGATGGACATCAATCCAATAGACACAATTAAATATCTGACTACAGGTTGGGCTAAGCTCAGTGAAGAAAAAGGTATCTGCTAGTGTGAGGGCAGTAACAGGTGGTTCTGCCCTGGTGGTGGTAGTGGTGGGAAGGGCTTCCCTGCGGCAGTTAGAACTGTGATCGAAAGAATGCACAGGAGTTAACTACTCTAAAATTCTGGCAAGCTGTAGGACAGGCTTTTCATCTGTAAAATGAAAACCGCTATTGCTAAGCCACAGATCATGTAGGGGAGAACTGAGGTTACAGAGAGTAACAGTTACCACCACTCTTCGAGTCCTTCAACACACTGACCTCTGAGCAGCTCGCAGGTCGCCGGGGTGTAAGTGGCTGGCTGGGGGCAGCGCCAGAACCCCGTTCCTTTGGTCACTGCCCCCAGCCTCTCCTGGGAAGCCATGGGAGGGCCCTGAGGAGGGAAAGACGCAATGAAACACCCCGTCTCCCAGTCCCAATCTCTGTTTTCTCGCCCCCAATCCCATCCGAAGTCTGGGAGCGAGGGTAGGGGATCTGGGTGGCAGAATTGTGACGCCTCCAGTAAATATCGCGACAGTGCCTGATCCCTGACCCTGACACACAGGCAGATACACACACACACACAGAGTCCTTATCCTGACCCAATGCCTGTAGCAGGGGTGTCACCTCGGGAGAAAAAAACCAAACCCAAACCCGTTGTCGTCGAGTTGATTCCGACTCATAGTGACCCTATAGGACAGAGTAGAACTGCCCATCGGGTTTCCAAGGAGCGGCTGGTGGATTAGAACTGCCGACCTTTTGGATAGTAGCCGAGCTCTTAACCACTGCGTCACCAGGGCTCCCCTCGGGAAAAAGGGAACGTTAAAATCGCGGTGGTCACGGCAGTACGCATTGGGTGATATGCCACAGTTGAAACCTCACCCTAAAGTAAGACCTGTCTGGGTGCCCCTCCCCGCGGAGAGCGGCAGGTGGGCTCCCGGAGATAGAAGCCACGACTCTGCAGCAGCACCCCGCGCGGATGCCCCTCGAAAATATTTTGCGATCCTTGCGACTGGAGGGGGCAGCAAGCGGATCTGGTTACCATGGTAACGTGCGCAAGCCATTCGGCGCATGCGCATTGCCTCTCTGGCCTGCCTCCCGGAAGTGATTGTCTCTGGGTCACGGCGCAGGCGCAGGGTACGCGTGGTAGCGCGAGGCGGAGGCGGAGTGTTTGTGTATCTTCGAGCGGTTGTGGGGCGCAGAGCCGGGTCTGTGCAGCGTGTACGTTATGTCAGACAACGAGGACAAGTGAGTGCAGGAGCAGACCTTTGCGGGAGCCTGAGGAGGGACAGGGGAAGCGAAGGCCTGGGTCGGAAGAAACTGAGGCGCCTGGGGTCTAGGGGCAGTGTCTAATGGGACAGGGATACTGGGGGCCTGGGTCGGAAGAGACTGAGGAGCTGGGGTCTAGGGGCAGTGTCTGATGGGACGGGGATACTAAGGGCCTGGGGTCTAGGGGCAGTGTCTGTTGGGACGGGGATACTAGGGGCCTGGGTAGGAAGAGACTGAGAGCCTGGGGTCTAGGGTTAGTTAGTGTCTGATAGGACGGGGATACTGGGGGCCTGGGTCGGAAGAGACTGAGAGCCTGGGGTCTAGGAGTAGTGTCTGATGGGACGGGAATACTGGGGGTCTCGAGTCTAGGAGCAGTGTCCTAGGAGACGGGGATACTGGGGCCCTAGATTGTAAGAGACTGAGGAGCTGGGGTCTAGGGGTGGTGTCTGAGGGGACGGGGATACTGAGGGCCTGACGGCTAGGGGCAGTGTCCGAGGGGATGGGGATACTGAGGGCCTGGGGGCTAGGGACAGCGTCCGAGGGGACGAGGATACTGAGTGCCTGGGTCGGAGAAGACTGAGGGCCTGGGATCTAGGGGCAGTGTCTGATGGGACGGGGATACTGAGGGCCTGGTAGCTAGGGTCAGTGTCCGAAGGGACGGGGATACTGGGGGCCTGGACTGGAAAAGACTGAGGGCTTGGGGTCTAGAGATAGTGTCTTATGGAATGGGGATACTGGGGGCCTGGGTTGGAAAAGACTGAGGGCCTGGGGTCTAGAGGCAGTGTCTGATGGGATGAGGATCCTGGGGGCCTGGGGTCTAGGGATAGTGTCTTATGGGACGGGGATCCTGGGGGCCTGGATCGGAAGAGACTGAGGAGCTGGGGTCTAGGGGCAGTGTCTGAGGGGACAAGGATACTGAGGGACCAGCAGAGCTGGAGAAGGGAAGGCTGGGAACCAGGAGCATAGACCAGGCCAGAGTCTAGACGCAGAAAGGCCGAGGCTTGAGGGACCTTGTTCAGTGACTAAGGTGTCTTTCAGCAAACTGCCACTGAGTTGGGCTCTGTGTCTAGTACTGGGAATATGAGGTGAATTAGGCACAGTCCCTGCTCTCCAGGTGACCACTTTCTAGGAGACAGAACAGGCCCATGAACAGATAATATGGGGTAGTAGTAGAAGGATATAGTATGGAATAATCCTGAGGGGGAGGCTGGTGACGCCTCACAGAGGTGGTGAAAGGCTGTGAAATGTGACTAAGAATTGGCCTGGTGGACAAGGCATAGAGCATTACAAGTAGAGAAAACAATGTGTCCTACAGTACAGAGACAAGGTGTGGTGTGTGTGGGAATTTGGGGAACCAGCTTGTGTTCTGAAAGCAAAACATGTCAGGAAGGGGCAGCTGAGGGACAATAAAGACTAGATGATTGAGGGCTGTTGTGCCTTTGTAAAGACTTTATTCTCTCGTTGAGGTAAAGTGGACATTGAGTTGTTTTAAGCAGTGGAGCGATACAGTTAGATTTTCTTTTTAGAAGAGATACTTTGCATACATTGTGATGAATAGATTCGGAGAGTTGAATTGGAGGAGAAAGACCAGTTAGGAAGTTGTTGCAAAATTATAAACTGGGAAAGGATGGAGACCTGAATTTAGATTGTGACCACGGAATAGAGAGGAGAGTGCGGAGAGATTTCAGGAGGTAAAATTGACAGGTCTTTGTGATAGGATGTGGGTGTGAGGGAGAGATGGAGGATGAGTGTTTTCTAACTTGAACTGGGTGAGTGCTTCTTCCAGCCGTGATAGAGAACCTGGAAGAAAGAGTAGGTTGTTATTGTTTTCTTTGGGTGTAGTAGGATGATCCCCGAGGTCAGGAATGGTGGTGAAGGGGGCAGATGTGAGAGGCCAAGGTCATGAAATCTGTTTTATACATATCATACTGAATTTGACTGAATTGGCTTATTTATTAAACAAATATTTATGTGTCTGGCTCTATTCCAGAAGCTTGGAATATACAATGAATGAATTGGGGGTGGGTGGTGGGGTGGGCAAAGACAGATGATAACAGGCATAAGTAAGTAAATGTATGGTATGTTAGATGGTAAGTACTATAGTAAAAATAGAGAATTGGGGGAGGACTGTAGGTTTCAGTTTTAAATAGAAACGTTATTCGAGAGAAGGCTTCATGGAGATGATGTCATTTGAATAGGGCTGGAGGAGGTGAAGGTGTTAGCCTTGGGGCAGATGGGACAACTAGAGCAAAAGCTCTCAGGTAGGTGCATGCCTGGAGTGTGCGGAACAGTCAGGATGCAAGCAGTGTGGGTTCTACCAGGGGAGAGTGGTAGAGGATGAGGTCAGGGAGGTGATAGGAGGCCAAATTGTATATGCTTGTGGGCCACTGTCAGGACTTGGCTTTAACTCTGAGTGAAATGGGGGAGCCATCAAAAAGTTGTGAGCACAGGAGTGATGTGATTTTAGGTTTTATAAGGATCACTCTGGCTACTGTGTTGATAATAGACTGTAGGGAGGCAAAGATAGAAGCAGGGAGTTGGGAGGTTATTGCAGTAATCTAGGTGAGAGAAGATATTAGCCTGAACTTGGGTGATTGTAGAAGTGGTGAGAAGTGGATGGATTCTGGATATATTTTGAAGGTAGAGCCAAGACGATTTCATCATGGATTGGATGAGGGCTATCTGACGAGAAAAATATGGGAGTCGTCTGCATAAGTATATGATTCAAAGCTAAGAAATAGGTGAGATCACCATGACAGTATGTGTCAGGAGAGAAGAGGAGACGACCAGTGACTGAGTGTTAGAGCTTTTCAACCATGAGTGCTTGGAGGAAGAGGTTGTTAAGGTGCCGTTGAGTCAGTTCCAACTCATAGCAACCCTATGTACAGCAGAACAAAACGCTGCCAGGTCCTGCGCCGTTTTCACAATTATTGTTATGCTTGAGCCCATTGTTGCAGCCACTGTGTCAGTCCATCTTGTTGAGGGTCTTCCTTTTTTTCCTTGACCCTCTGCTAAGCATGATATTAACAAATGAAGGTCCTGAAAGCTTGACTCCATCGATATCATTAAGATCAACTCTACTTTGAGGAGGCAGTTCTTCCCCAGTGGTATTCTGAGTGCCTTTCAACCTAAGGGGCTCATCTTCCAGCACTGTATCAGACAGTGTTCTCCTGCTGTTATAAGGTTTTCACGGGCCAGTTTTTTCAGAAGTAGACTACCAGGTCCCTCTTCCTAGTCTGCCTTAGTCTGAAGTTCCACTGAAACCTGTCCATCAAGAGTGACCTTGCTGGTATTTGAAATACTGGTGGCAAAGCTTCTAGTATCACAGCAACACACAAGCCACCACTGTACAACAAACCGGCAGACAGGAGAAGGAGTAGCCAGTGAGGTGAAGGAACACCAACAGAATGAGGTGTCTTTGAGGTCAGGCGAGAAGAGAGAAGATGTATCGACAGGAAGGGAGTGGTCTAATGGGCCAACTGACAGATCAAGTTAAATGATAGTGAGAATTGTCCATTGAATTTAGCAACTTGGAATTCATTAACGAACTTGAAAGGAGTAGTTTTGATGGAGCCGCAGGTGGGTGTGGTGGAAGTCTTATTGGAATAAGATTACGACAGAATGGGAAGAGAAGAATTGGAGACACTGAGGAGCAAGACTCTTTCAGGAATTTTTCTCCAAAGGGGAGCATGGAAATAGGGCTCTGCCGGGAGGGAAAAGAGTAGTAAGTTTGCTTTGTTTTCTAAGGTGGGGAAATAGGCACATGTTTACACACTGATAGGAATGATCCAGTGGAGAGGGAAGCTGATGATGAGTGAGTCCTAGCAAAATCTGGGGGTTGATGGGGAAAGATGGAGGGAGTAGAATCGAACAGAAGTGTGGTTCATTTATTAAGTCGATATTTACTGAACGCCCCCTAGACATTTGGTAGTACACTGATCTCTGTCTTCTTTGATTCTAGTAAGTGATGCTCTAACCGGCCTCTTCTTCTTGTACAGTTTTGATGGCGATGACTTTGATGATGTGGAGGAGGATGAAGGGCTAGATGACTTGGAGAACGCCGAGGAGGTCAGTATTTTAGCCTCAGGCTCCCACCTCTGTAGCTCAAGCTGCAGGTGGTAAGCGCTTGAATACGTCTGCCTCCTC